AGGCTTCCCGCGAAATTGTTCAAATGGATCACCAGTTTCCATGCTGATCGGAGTATCAAGGTCGTAGTAGACGGTGCATGCTCTGATTTCAAGCCTATTAACGCTGGTGTTCCACAAGGCTGCATGCTATCACCAACGCTGTTTCTCCTGCATATCAATGATATGTTGCTAACTGGTAGCATTCATTGCTATGCGGACGACAGCACTGGTGATGCCTTATATACCGGTCGTGCCAATATTTCTCGGGAAAACGTCGCTGAGTACCGGGACAAACTTGTGTCTGAAGTCGAGTCTTTGCTTAACAAAGTCTCGGATTGGGGCCGACTAAATCTAGTCCAGTTCAATCCCCAGAAGACACAAGTTTGCGTGTTTACCGCTAAAAAGAACCCCTTTGTCGTGTCTCCTCAGTTTCAAGGCACTCCCCTTGCCGCCTCAGCTAGTATTGGAATCCTTGGCGTCGACATATCGAATAGTGTGCAGTTTCGTGGTCACTTGGAAGGGAAGGCCAAATTGGCCTCTAAAAAGCTTGGCGTGCTCAGCAGAGCGAGACAGTATTTCATGCCGGCACATCGCTTGCAGGTCGCTCAGCGAGCTATGGAGAGGGCTATGCTCGGAGTTTCTCTGCGTGATAAACTCAGAAATGAGGATATCCGCAGTAGAACTAGAGTGACCGACATAGCCCAACGGATTAGTAAGCTGAAGTGGCAATGGGCCGGCCATATAGCTCGAAGAACCGACAACCGATGGGGAAGAAAGGTTCTCGAGTGGCAGCCTCGTACCGGCAGGCGAAGTGTAGGGCGTCCCCCCACTAGATGGAGTGACGACCTGGTAAGATATGCAGGAAGTCGATGGATGCAGGTGGCTCATGACCGTGCTTTGTGGCATTCTTTGGGGGAGGCCTATGTTCAGCAGTGGACTTGTGAAGGGCTGTAATGATGATGATGATGATGACATCGCTTGCAACTTTACAAAGCGCAAGTTCGGCCCCACATGGAATACCGTTCTCATCTCTGGGCCGGGGCACCCCAGTGCCAGCTCCATCCACTTGACCGCATCCAGCGCAGAGCGGTTCGAATCGTCGACGACCGAGTTCTTTCTGATCGGCTCGATACACTGGCACTGCGTAGAGATGTGGCATCTCTTTGCGTATTTTATCACATCTATCACGGGGAGTGCTCTGAGGAATTGTTCGGACTAATTCCAGCCGCTCAATTTCACCATCGCACATCGCGACAAAACTTGCGTTACCATCCATACCATCTGGATGATTGGCGGTCCACCCCTGAGCGATTTAAAAGAAGTTTTCTCCCTCGCACAACTTCCTTGTGGAATCAATTACCACCAGCGAATTTTCCGGACCGATACACCTTAGGAACCTTCAATAAAAGAGCTTACACCTTTCTAAAAGGCCGGCAATGCATCTGCAATTCCCCTGGTGTTGCAGTTGTTCATGGGCGGCGGTAGTCACTTACTATCAGGTGACCGCATGCTCGTTTGCCCACTCTTCTATAATAATAAAAAAAACCATCCCATCGAACTACGAGAGTGTGAGAATAGAGATACACTCGGTCACTATAATCCTAACTTGCGCAGATGGTTAGTCTCCGTTGAACCAGACCACCGTGACTGAAATTCGGTCTGGAAATTATTATTTTTATTATTTTCGTCTTTTGTAATTGTTTGAATTCCTGATGAGATAGTTAGTGAGTCTACCTTCAGCTTTTAATTTTTGATTTTTGATTTTGCATATTATGGACGGGTTTGGATTTAATTTTATTAATTATGGGATCTCTTATCGTGGGTGATGAAAAAATTGACAGAGGGAAATTGATAAAAGGAGAGGGAAAACACCATCTTTTTTTATATAGGCTTTACCTTATCAAGCATTTATAATTTCTTATTGAGTCCCATAGGTGTATGACGGTATAGCCGTATCATTTGCGCCATGCGTAGGAAACCCAGGTCGTCATCGGGAAGCATCGTCAAAGGTGCAAAACGTCTGGTACTCTGTGCAGCGTGATGATTAAAGCAAATCAATTCTACGACTATGATATGATTATAATTATGACTATATAATTTACGCGATAAAGCTAAGCCGTGTAGTGGCGGTTAAGAATATCCACTACCCCATATCTTCCCGTGGGTGTCGTAAAAGGCGACAAAGGGAAACAGGCAGGAGATGGATTGCAGCATCTTCCTGATGAATTTAAAAAAATTACAATAAAAAAACTGCGGTTGCCAACCCGCTCGCCAAGCGTGGCAACTATGGCAAATACCCCGCTATGATGAGAGTAACAAACAGACGGCCCCCAGTCCCCGGCGGCCCCGCTATTCCTGGCTACGGTGGCTACCATGGTAACGGCGGGGCAGGGGGTGCTAAGAATCTCCAGTGGAGGTTCGGTTGCCACCTAAGACGACTCGACCTTGCAACATACAACGCACGCACCCTGAGGACTGACGAGAAGATCGTGGAGCTGGAAGAAGAGACAGACAAGTAACGCTGGCATATTAAAGAAATATCCGAGGTCCGAAGAGAGGGGGAGGACACGGTAATCCTCGAATCCGGCAACTTTCTCTATCACCGGGAGGACGACCATCTGTACCAAGGAGGTGTCGGATTTATCGTCCACAAGTCTCTCGTTAACAACGTTGTAAGGATTGAGAGTGTGTCGATGAGGGTTACGTACCTTATACTCAGAATCACCAAACGATATTCGCTGAAGGTCATACAGGTTTACGCACCAACCTCGGCACACCCCGATGAGGAAGTGGAGGAAATGTATAAGGATATCTCTAGAGCCATGCATTCCTCCAAAACCCACTATACGGTGTTAATGGGAGACTTCAACGCAAAACTAGGCACAAGAGAGAATGGTGAGCTGAAATTAGGGAAATTCGGAATAGGACAACGGAACCCAAGGGACCAGCAGCTGGCCGACTTCATGGAGAAAGCGGGACTCTTTATGATGAACTCTTTCTTCCAGAAGTGGCCCCACAGGAAGTGGACCTGGTCGACCCCCGACGGTTCGACAAGAAATTAAATTGAGTTCATTATGACGACCAGACGACAACTGTTCAGTGGTGTCTCAGTGATCGCGAGGATGAAAACCGGCAGCGATCACCGAATGGTGAGAGGCACACTGAACCTAAACGTTAAGTTGGAGAGGTCACGTCTAATGAAATCAACGCTCCGTCCCTTTCGTGCTCTAATCCAAAGCCCCGAAACCTTTCAGCTCGAACTGCGAAACCGTTTTCAGTGCCTAGAAGATTGCAATGCAGTGGACGATATGAATGACATGCTCGTGGAAACTGTCCATGCGGTCGGAGCTAAGTTTTGCAAGACCCGCTGCAGAAGAACACAAAAACTCTCCAATCACACTCTTAATCTCATGGCTGTTAGACGGGATATGAATCTGCAGTCTTCAGTAGATTTGAACATTAATACTGCTTGTATTGAAGAAGCGATCAAGCGGAACCAGGGCTCCAAAGTCTTTGCTAGAGATCTGTCTGCCAGAAAGAGCTGTCGAAGCTGAAGACCGAGTGTGGCAGCGTCGTTTCCGGGACATCTGAGATTTTGAGTGAGATTGAGGGGTTCTATGGACAGCTGTACACATCATCGTTGGAGCCACAAGTAAGTGTGAATAACGATCCAAGAGCGAGTCTTATCCGACACTATTCCGAAGATATCCCGGACGTCAGTCTGAGCGAGATTAGAATGGCTCTCCAGCACCTTAAAAACGGCAAGGCGCCAGATGAAGATGGAATTACAGCGGAGCTTCTGAAAGTGGGTGGAAAACCGGTATTTGAAGTCCTTCAGAAGCTCCTTAATTCCGTCCTCAATGGTGGCATTACACCAAAAGCGTGGAGCAGAAGTGCGGTGGTCTTGTTCTTCAAGAAAGGTGACCACGCTGTCTTGAAAAACTACAGACCGATTTCCCTTCTGAGTCTCTACACTCACCATACGAAACACAGCAGCGTTAAGCTACTATTTTACGCTGGTTTTCTGTGAGAGCGTGGTCCTTCCCCGGTCGAGCCGACCCATTCGTGCTACAACTATACTACTAATATAGCTGCAACATGGCTCTACCACGTATAAAACGAGAAGATTATGGCAGAAAGGTTGGGCAGCGGTCAGGAAATTACAGCACATCTTCTCGTCAGGTATACCTCAAAACTTGAAAACGAGACTGTACAACCAGAGCGTATTGCCAGTTATGACCTATGGAACTGAGACGTGTGACTTCACTGCTGGCCGTATGAGGAAGCTCAAGGTCGCTCAGTAAGCTATGGAGAGGGCTATGCTCGGAGTTTCTCTGCTTGATAGACTTAGAAATGAGAATATCCGCAGTAGAACCAGAGTTTGACATAGCCCAACGAATTAGTGAGCTGAAGTGGCAATAGGCCGGCCATATAGCTCGAAGAACCGACAACCGATGGGGAAGAAAGGTTCTCGAGTGGCGGCCTTGTACTGGCGAAAGAAGTGTAGGCCGTCCCCCCACTAGATGAAGTGACGACCTGGTAAGATATGCAGGAAGTCGATGGATGCAGCTGACTCAGGACCGTGCTTTGTGGCATTCCTTGAGGGAGGCCTATGTTCAGCAGTGGACTCGTGAAGGGCTGTAATGATGATGATGATGATGATGATGATGGTTAACATGGGTGCTGTAAATTGCCCGAAACGTCGGAAATATAAAGTAAGTTATAAACGCGATAAAATCCGAAAGAACTAGTTTTATTTAAATGTGTAATGTTCGCCTAAACATAAGTAACCATTACAAAAACGATGATATCTATATAACTTTAGATTATCCATTGTAGATATTGAATCGATCAAACTCCGTTGTCAGTAGTTACAGTGTTTAAGCAAAAAGCTCTTCTTATACCTCACAACAGCTGAAATTGAATTAACTTTTATTTTAATATATTTATTGTAGCATTGATTATAAAATACTTAAAAACAACAAAATTAAAATAATTATTCAAAAAATACCAAAACATAAATGGATCTAGAAAAATTACTAAGTTATAAATTTAAGTGCTGGAAACCACCTCCACCAAAAGTGACGAGTAGAAGCAAATGTGATATTACACTGACATGGACACTCGGAGAGCCGTTCGGTTTCCTCGGAAATCACCTGTTGTATAAACTGGAGAAGCAGGAGAAAATTCCTCCCTGGGTTCTAGTGTACAGGTATTTCCAAATCACTATTTAGATATTAGATGAAACTAATTTTTACGGATTTTATCGCGTTTAATTTAACTCTTTAATTCCCAACGTTTCGGGTGCTTTACAGCACCCATGGTCACGGAGGGTACTGAGGTGTTTAACGTCTCGATGTCATAGTTAGCCATGCTACCTTCAGTTTCTGAATATCAATTTTTGGTCTGATCTACGCAGAATGAGCTTATAGCATCTTGAAGTTTTGCAATGATATGCTTGGGTTTGTATTTAATTTTATTAATTATAGGATCCCAAGCAGATGAAAGCATCCATCCATCTTCTCTTTTGAAACCAGGATGTTTTTTTTTATTTCAATAGCCTCGCAAAGCATCCTTGGTAGGAGTCGGTGTAATTTTGCGAGGATATCTGGGACGATCTTGAACATGTTCATACACTGCAGACTTTCTGGAACGTCGGTGCTTCAAGTCAACTATATGTTCGCGAGTTTTTATAGATATTTTTGTTTGTCCTATGTAAAAGAGACCACATTCACAATCCAGCTTGTACACTCCTGCATCTTGTAGAGGGATATAATACTTGACGGATGGTAAAAATTGACTAATCTTCTTCGGCGGCTTGATGTATATTTCAATGGTAGCTCGCTTCAAGATGTAGCCAACCTTGTCTGTGACTTCTCTGACATAGGGTAGTACAGCAGGCACAGACTCGACTGTGGCCGACTTCACTCGGTCACTAGGACGTAGGCGCGGGACGCGAAGCTTTGTTGTCTTGCAATACTTGCCCGACGTGCTGAAGCTCGGCGGCCAGATGTTTTCTGTCACAGATCCATCGTGCTCTCTGAGTTAGAGGCAAACAAGGCTTTAGCTTTCCTAGATGTTTTAGTCATCGGAAATTCTGATAACACTATTTCGTATAATGCATGTAGAGAACTGGAAGCCCTATTTACTGCAAACGGGACATTCTATCTTAATCCTCAAGTTTGACAACGCTTTTGCATTTTGAGTCTTAATCGAGGATAAATGTAGACGTTTAAAGGTCACAGCATCCATTTACCATCAGGAGGACTGTGTGCTCGTTTGTCATCCTTATACTACTAATAACTGCCATATACATAAAATATACGAAATCTTAAGTTTAAATCTCTCGTTTACGGCCTAAAGTATGACAGCTCTGTGGCGCAGTGGCTTAGAATAAGTTGCAGCGCTAAGAGTCGCAGGCTCGAATCCCACACAGATCAAGTATCTGTATGGCCTACAAATAATTGTTGCACTTTTGCCATTGCTGCCCATCGCAGGTCTCGATATTTATTTAATTCTTCAAACTTTATTGTTATCACATTTATATCATTATCATCATCAGATAATGATATAAATGTGATTACCATAATGATGTAGGTTGTATTTGTATGTATGTATTTACGAATAGGTATGATGTTAGTGTCTGCATGTACGTTTGTACTGGGTCAACATCGCAAGACCTCAGTCACTGTGCTTCATTATCATCATTACATCACCTGCACTCATCGACTTCCTGCATATTTTACCAGTTCATCGCTCCATCTAGAGCAGACTCCACTACACTTCGCTTACCGGTACGAGGCTGCTACATGAAAACCTTTCTTCCTCATCGGTTATCGGTTCTTCGAGCTATGTGGCCAGCTCGTTGCCACTTCTGCTTACTAAACTTCTATAAGTAGCGGCACGAAAGTCTAGCGGTAATCGTTATTATTCGTTGCATAAGTCGTACTGATTGGCTTATTGCACATTAATTGCGCTGATTGACTCATACCACAGCATCCACTTACCATCAGGAGGACCATGTGCTTGTTTGTCATCCTTATACTACTACTTACTGCGATATACAAATAATATACGAAATATTAAGTTTAAATCTCTCGTTTACGGTCTAAAGTATGACAGCTGTGTGGTGCAGTGGCTTAGAATAAGTTGCAGCGCTAAGAGTCGCTGGTTCGAATCCCATACGGTACAAATATTTGTATGGCCTAAAAATAATTGTTCCGAGTCTGGATGATATCCTTGTGATATTTATGTATGTAAACTGCCACCACGATACAGGAAAACTGTGTCGTGGAGGCAGTTTACAAACATAAATTGCACGAGGACAAACATCCAGACCTGGAACAGTTATTCGTAGGCCATGCAAATACTTGTACCGTATGGGATTTGAACCAGCGACGCTGCAACTTATTCTGAGCCACTGCACCACACAGCTGTCATACTTTAGACCGTAAACGAGAGATTTAAACTTAATATTTCGTATATTATTTGTATATCGCAGTAAGTAGTAGTATAAGGATGACAAACAAGCACATGGTCCTCCTGATGGTAAATGGATGCTGTGACCTATAAACATCTACATCTATCAGATTCTAAAATGCGCCACGGAGCTTTTTTTTACTATATAATAACTTTTATTTATATTTCAGCGGTGGTAAAACGATGAAAACAATTGGAAACTTAGCTCCGCTACACCCTCATAAATTCAGGCTAAAAGTTATCTTGAAGGCTTCCGCCGTTTCTTCCCTAGTCGTTAACGCTCTTAATTACTATGGAGATGCAGAAGTTCTAAACAATAAATTACAAGAAATCGGGAATATTAACAGCGAAGCAGAAAGGGAGGAAATTGATTATGAAACAAACAAAAGGTATCGATCTTGAAACAATGAAATTAAAAAATATATATATTAATGAATTGATAAAAACATCTTTAGCAGTAAGCAATTTACTGTAGGTTATAGGCCTGTCCCATAGATAAAATGGAATAATATCTGGTTTCTATACAACATGTAACAAAAAGTCTCTGGTTCCCGTTAGAATTAACTTCATTTCAGTGAACTTGACCATAGAGAAATCAAATTTAATTCAAATAATTGTTGTCATTACTCGGCCGTGGGGTAAGAATATATTCAAATACGTAGGTACATAATAAGTTACTATTGATAACACTATAATCCCTTTAATAAGGACGAAGAAATTTTTTACCGTCATATATGCCATACCTGTATATACATTTTTACGTCGTTGCTACCGGTTGTTTTTACATGCTGTATAAAAGAAAATATTTCGTTGTTAAAGAAACAAATTACAGAATAAATAATTTAAAGTTAAAATTTTTGTACAACTGACTTCAATATAAATTATTAAGAGTAACTCTAGAACTTTTGGTCAGACCTTGATCAAATTTATATGGAACTACATGTGAAGCACCAGCTTTCAATTAAAAGAAAAAGAATCACCGAAATCGCTTGATCTAGTAAAAAGTTATGAGGTAACACACATTAAGAAAAACATACAGTCGAATTGAGTACCGTCTCCTTTTTGAAGTCGATAGAAAAGTCACTGCAAATACTTACTATCTGTCGTGATTTCTCGAATGAATACTTTGTAATAAAAGGCTTTTTACGTACTCTTCGGATATAATATAACGGATCGTAATAAGGAGCGACACTTCCTTGGAGGATCTAATGGTGATAATATTTTAACTATGAGTGTATTAATATTTACTAGCTTCACACGAAAAGTATTATTCAAGTAGTATCCAAGAAATGAAATATTCATCAAGTATGAAGGTACGCGTAAGGTAGAGCTTATACATTGTTATCATTCTTTTCTGAAAGTTGACCTTCTGCGATACGTCATGGGTGGTGGTTGACACCTGATGGTTCAGATGAACCGCATGCTCGTTTGCCCCCTCTTCTATAAAAAAAAGTATCTAACAACACCGCATTTGTTTAAAATCATCAAGCCGTTTAGGCTTCGGTGCGTTCCATAAAAATAGACATACTTACATACATACACATTACATACACTTGAAAAACATTACCCTCTTTCTGGGCAGTCGGGTAAAAACACACGAAAAACGTACAGTCATTAACCTACCACGCCTTAATTGTAATGTTAGGTAAAAGTTAAGTAATAATGTATGATCTAAATTACTGTATTATATTCATCATCATCGTTACAGCCTGTCACAAGCCCACTCATGAACAAACAATTCCTCCCAGAAGGAATGCCCCAAAGCACGATCCTGAGCCACCTGCATCCAACGACTTCTTCTATGTCTTACTAAGTCTGAGTTTACTGTGTCATATTCATCATCATTGCAGCTCTTCACAAGTCCACTGCTAAACATAGGCCTCCCACAAGGAATGCGACACAGCACGGTCCTGAGCCACCTGCATCTATCGAATTCCTGTATGTCTAATCATGTCAGTAATTCATTCTTGGGGCAATGTATACGCTATTACAACAATGTCCCGGAAAGTGTACAGGCTCTCTCTATTACCAAATTTAAATGTTTTGTTAAGTTGAAACTGTATAAAAAGGGTTATTATAGTATAAATGAATACATGGTTGATAAGCTGTTTCTAAAATAAATTTTGTACTTATATAGTTTGTACAACCATTAATGTAAAGTTTGCTTTTTAAAAAAGTCCCGCTGGGTTTCTTGCTGGTTCTTCCCTGGACAGAGGTTTTTTTTCGAACCAGTGGTAAAGTAAAAAATGACTTTCAATAAGAATTACACATGTGATCTATATTGAATAAAAAATATTCTATTCAATTCTATCATGGGTATATATATAATATCTATCATATTGCCATAGTTGCCACGCTTGGCGAGCGGGTTGGCAACTGCAGTTTTTTACTTACTATGTAAGTTACTGTATCATTAACAGTAAATTAAATACGAAGAAGTGGCTGGAGACGCAGTGGTCGGAGGAGTTGTGGACCAATACAGATACGGGTGGCGCGTCAGCTGTCTGCTTTTGTATGGCGGTACGCTGTGGATACGTCAAACAAGTGAGTTTCCGTTTTTTTTTGTTATTTGTTAGAGCAGCAATGCAGGTATAATAAAACCAGTATTATTAGTCGGCAACCGCAGTTTTTTTTTTATTATTTTGAGTTTGTATCAAAACATACACGTAGTAATTTTTTTTATAGGATAGGGTGACAAACGAGCACAGTTCACCTGATGGTAAGTGGTTGCTGTGGCCCATAGACATCTACATCTATCCTCGTTTGCGAATCAAAATGCAGATGCGTTGTCACCAATGAGGACGAAGATAAATTAGACTAAGAAAGAGGCATTCTCTTTTCCAGTAAAAAAGGGTCTCCCTTTCTCTACACTCACCATATGAAACACAGAAGTATCAAGCTGCCATTTTACGCTGGTATTCGGTGAGAGCGTGGTCCTTCCCCGGTCGTGCCGACCCATTCGTGCCACAGCTATACTACTAATATAGCTGCAGCATGGCTCTACCACTTACAAAATAAGTAAATAGCTAAAAATTGCAATTAGCATCATTAATATCTATGGGGATCAAACCCGATTCGTTCGCGTACTGTGGAATTTAGAGCTAGCACTTAACCCCTGAGATCTCGACTCTTATCTCCTATTACAGAAACAAAACATTGCAGCATCAAACATGTCACGCCTTTTAATGCTGCTACCCACCGCCAGCCTTTGCACTTTGGATCTTTTTTTTCTATAAAACTGCAGTGACTACCGGTCTTCTTCTCATGGTTAGTGGCTCCTGCAGCTTATGGACACCTGTGATGAACTTCAAACAAAGAAGGCTACAGATACGTTGTCATCTCTGAGAGCTGTGATGGAAGTTTCGCAGTCTATAAATATACTACCTCTCTATACTCTTGACACCGGAACAAAGTGCACGCACTGCTATTTCCGGTGCACATTTCGATATTTGGATTTAAGGTTGTTGTACACGCCTCTAGCTGCCCTGACAAAGGTCGACCATACAGAGGCCCAGACAGCTGTAGATTCGACGGACAACTAAGGGTGGGGCCCAACGGCCTATGGAGACTTATTATTCTACACAATAGATATAAGGCTAGGTAATTAATAAGAAAAGGTACGTTCTTATTAATTACCTAGGTTCCGAAGCTAAGACTGACCCCAAGGCTCGGTCAGGCGGTAGGTAGGTGCATGTAAGTAGTGTGTTAGAAGGTGTGTATGTGTGACCTGGCCTAACTGAGGTGATCGGGCAGCGGCCTCGTCCGATGCTGCCCCACGATGTAGTATCACTCCAGTGGACGTCACCAATAGTAAACTGCTGACTTCTTCAACTATTTCATTTTATCAACTTTATTGTACACTATTTCAAGCCATCAATTTTATTGTATATTTCATTAACTCCAAACTCAACTAAATTCAACGTTCATCAAAATCAAACACGTGACACCCGACACAAGTAACGAACAGTCGTTCAAAGTTCAATATTCAATGTTCCGGGTTCATTTAGCACCGAATAACAATCAGAGAACGAACGCGATCTCTTCTCGAGTCACAAAGCTCAGCGTTCCAAACAACAAACTAAATTTCTTTGTACGATATTACATACCATGCCCGCAATCAGAACTCAAAATTCGCCTCGTTGACACGTAAAACGATAGAAAACAGTCGTCACACAAAAGGCACTTAACGCGACGTTACAAATCAACATTAACTTCCAAAAACCATTAACCAGGCCTCGCCCTCGAAATAAAATGCGAGCATCAAATTCCAGACCGCATATCCACTCGGCGTGCGCGCAAGGTTCAACTTCACACAAGCAAGTTAAATATTGCAAAATGTAAAAAAATGCACTTCAACATACAATCACTATACAATTGACGTAATTACTTGCAAACGAAATTACTTTAATCAGTCAAATTCAATACAAGCCTCTTGTCACGAAACGTACAACTTAGACAAACTAATTCGAGGCGGTCTACACGAAACCCAAATTCAATAGTAAATTAAACGTGCACCAATACTCAAATTCTAGACCATCAAAACCAAAAACCTGGCCGCGCGAAATCGATGCAGCGGTCACAAATAAATACGCTAATCGACAGCGCCTCTGCTTTCAAGCTACTGACTTCGCACTCGCGTCCTGCGCTCGCGCCCTCTGCCGAGCGACCCACACGGGAGCGGGGCGACGGTGCCCTTTACAAAGTCAGCGGGAGGACACGAGTGTTGAATGCAAATTTCAAATGTTAATTGTTTGGCCTAAACAGTAGTCAAAGCCCATTTTTTCTATCATATTTTTAATTGTCATGGTTTTCTGATAAAATGTAAACTAGATCCTTCTTTATATTGCTCTCTATCTTTTCGTAAAGATTCATCACGAACAGTGCCACTGTTTCGAAGGTTAGGTCGAACAGACAGACAATTAGACAAAAATTATAAAAACTCTTATTTTTATCTATAAGTATAACTTTAACTCAATGGATTATTTGCATACTATTTGCATGCAAATAATCCATTGAGCTTAATAGATGAAAATTATATCAATGTCACATGTATACACTACAATTTTATTTATGTGTGCAGATAATGTTTCATAGAGACGTTTTGCATCTACATAAATGGATGTGAACAAGCAACCAGACCCGAAACGATCATTTATAGGTCAAGTAAATACTACCTCGTGAGGATGCCAAACCTGCGACTCACAATGGACCTGAATAACGATTATACTCGTAATGTATAGTACCGTTACCGTTACAGCCTATTAAAGTCCACTGCTGAACATAGGCCTCCACCATAGATTGCCTCATACCCCTATGACGCAATCTGTGGCCACATTGCCACGCTTGGCAAGCGGGTTGGCAACCGCTTTTTTTATTTTGTAATAAGAAAGACGCTGCTGCCCATCTCATGATTTGTTTCCCGCTGTCGCCTTCCTACGACACGCACGTAGTGGAGGATATTCTAACACCGCCGCTACACGCTACATGATATTATAATATATGATATAATAGAGGCAGATGCTTTTGTTATTGAAAACAGATTTTTGTTCCTTCGTTACATGTGGAGTCCACACCTTTTATGAAAGAACGGTTCACTGGTGCAGTGACTTAGCATTGAGTTGCAGCTCTAACAGCCGCAAGTGCGAATATGGCACGGAACAAATATTTGTATCGCCTACAAATAATTGTTCTGAGTCTGGATGTTTGTCCTTGAGAATTTAAATAAAACTAATTTTACGGATTTTATCTCGTATATTAACTTATTTTATATTCCCGACGTTTCGAGCACTTTAGAGCACCCATAGTCACGAGAGGACTGCGGTGTACGACGTCCCAATGTCATAGTTAACCACGGCTACCTCCAGATTAAAAGTTATTAAATTTTATTCTGATCTACGCAGCATGAACTTACAGTATCTTGAAGTCTTACAGTTGTATGCTTGGGTTGGGATTTAATTTATTAATTATGGGATCCCAAGCAGATGGTTGCACCCAGCCATCTTCTCTATTGAAATTGGGATGTTTTTGATTTCAATAGCCACGCGAATCATCCTTGGAAGGAATCGGTGTTCTTTAGCGAGGATTTTAGCTGATGTGAAGAATCGACGCTCCGGGAAGTCTGCAGTCTGTGAACACGTACAGGATCGCCCCCATCACTACATTAGATTTCATAGACCACAAATCCTCGCTCGTGGTAGAGCCATGCTGCAGCTATATTAGTAGTACACTTGTAACACGAATGGGTCGGCTCGACCGGGGAAGGACCACGCTCTCACAGAATACCAACGTAAAATAACAGCTTAACACTGCTGTGTTTCTTACGGTGAGTGTAGAGAACCGGAGACCCTTTTTACTGCATTTTGATTCGCAAACGAAGATAGATGTAGATGTCTATGGGTCAAAGCAACCATTTACCATCATGTGGACTGTGTGCTCGTTTGTCACCCTATCCTATAAAAAAATTACTTTGTCCACCATGAGTGGATCTTAAGATAAATTCGATAAATTAAAGGAGGATATCCACCTGTGTAATAAATCTTTTATGATGGCAGTAATGACACCAGTACTGTATCTGTTGAAATAGGAAAAGGGCTATTTCCTCCATTAATTTACTTCGCGATACATGTAGATATCTAAATGTAATCTTTACTTAAAACTATTTAATCAAACTTTTATTTTACGAATAAACTATCGTTGCAGTTGCAGACGATGGTGGAAGAACGACCAGAGCTAAAGGACATCGCTTCTACAAATGGACTCACTCCACTTGCAATTGCCATCCTACAAGGTTTAAAAGACCGCTTTTGACATAAGTATTAAAGTTTATATTGACTCAACAGTCTTCGTGGCTCAGGGTCTAAGCAATCGAAAGACAAATGCCAATGCTTGTGTAAAACTCATACGCCAAGTGCTCGCCAGTGAAGGATTAATATATCGTGTGCTTGTGAGAAAATCCGCAAATCTCAGAAATTAAAACCCACACGTATTGGATGCAGCGTACTGGATACCTCCTTGCCCTAAATCCATCCCAATGAAAGGAGTGTATCCAGAAATTAGATATATACAGATTCTAACTTTACTTTCTAAATTAAGCTACACCTCATTTTTCAATCTGTACGTTACTTAATAATGTATTTTATTTTATATCATGCCGTAGCTATATATGGCTGCGACAAGACTTTTAGCCTGTAGGACCACGCTCTCGCAGAATATAAGCGTGAAACAGCAGAATAATGCTGCTGTGTTTCATGAGAGCTACAGTGGCTATCCGAGTAAAGAACCAAAGTTTGAAACCTATCGAACTGCAGAAAGGTGTAAGACAGGGTGACGTTATATCCACGAAACTCTTCACCGGTGCATTAGAAGATGTTTACAAGCTACTGGACTGGAATTAATACGATATTAACATTAATAGCGATTACATCACTCACCTTCGATTTGCCGACGATATAGTCCTTATGGCAGAATTGCTGGATGACCTAAGCATAATGCTCAATGACCTCAATAGTGGCTTTCAACGGATAGGTCTTAGGATGAATATGGACAAAACAAAGGTCATGTATAATGTCCATGTCACACCTATGCCAGTAGTTGTTGGGAGCACTAAGCTCGGAGTTGTTGATAAGTATGTCCAAAGTATGTACAAATAGTCCGACTAGGTAAGTCCAACTTCGACCGAGACGTCAATCGACGGATTCAAGTCGGCTGGGTAACGTCCGGGAAATTACGACACATCTTCTCGTCAGGTATACCTCAATACTGAAATAATTTTGTAATAATAATTAATATTGAAAACGGGAGTGTACAGCCAGTGCGTGTTGCCTGTGATGACTTATGGATCTGAGATGTGGTCCTTCACTGCTGGCCGTATGAGGAAACTAAAGGTCGCTAAACCAACTATGGAGAGGGATATGCTCGATGTTTATATATCTTTATATATAAAAATTACGTGTCACATTGTTTATCCGCGATGAACTTCTAAATTACTAAACTGATTGCAATGAAATTTTGCACACTGTGTGAAGTTTGGTCCAACTTGAGAGATAGGATAATTTTTATCCCCATAAGTGAACCTAAATATTTTTTAATACGAATTTAAGTATTTTTATAGGACACAGGGTCGTCGAAGAGGGCAAAACAACGTCTGCCTGGCCAACTAGTATATATATTAAATAAATTATAATAAAAATGTATAATACTTAAGTACATATTACAATGTCTATAAACCCATAAAGATATACAAATATACACACAATCAAATAAAATATACCTAGTCAGGTCATAAATTCTGTCACATGTTTAATATAAAATAATTGAAACAAGTTTATTCATTATGTAACCATTTATACACCAAAATGAACTTAACAAAACATAGATTCTTATGACACTAAATTTTATTCAAAATGACCTCCGTGATTTTGAATACAGGCCTTCAATCTGCGCGGCCAGTCGTCTATCGCAGCACGAACGAGGTCCATGTCAATATCGGCGGCTGCCTTAATCAAGGATGTCTTGAGTGACTCCAAATTGGGATGAGGCTTTGAGCACGCCTTTTCCTCCAAGTGTTGCCATATCTTGTAATCTAACGGATTCAAATCTGGACTGGAGGAGGGCTAGTCTTCGTGCCGGATGAAGTCGATTTCACGTGCCGCCAGCCAGTCTTGTGTGCTCTTCGCTCTATGAGCTGGCGTCGAATCTTGTTGGAATACCCAGTGCCTGTTATTGAACATGGTTAGAGAAACAGGTTCTACAAGGTTCGTCAGGACTGTATTTTGATACACAACTGCATTCGTTTTTACACCTTTCTCACAAAAATGTACCTCTGTTAAGCCCCAATAAGAAACTCCCAACCATACCATGAGCGAGAATGGAAAATGACCTCGTTGGACACGCGGAATACGGTTGCTCGCTTCTTCACCACTGTGTGCGTACACCTTATCATTTTGTTTGTTGTAGCTCTCTTCTACGGTAAAAATTTTTCATCCCAAAAAGAATTTCCCGATATTTTTTTCCCGCGTACCGCTTCAACAAAGCGCGTCATCTCTTCAGTCTCAGGTCCATTAGACGAGCATTCAAACAATGTCCTGTTTTTCTTCGATATGACCGAAGCCCTAAGTCTTCATTTAACACCCCTTTCACCGTGGCTCTGCTTAACCCCATCTGAAGGGCCAACAGTTTCTGCTTACGTTTGGGATTTCTTTGAATTCGCGCCTTCACAGCTTTTATCACTGCTGGAGTCCTAACAGACCGAGGGCAACCACTTCTTGACCTGTCATCTACACTAGAGTCTTCATTGTATCGTTTGATGGTACGATAAACGAATCTTTTGGTTATATTCAAATTTTTCAGTATGTCAAAAATTTGAATTGGCGCGTAACCGCAACGATACAACGCAATAACTGCAACACGGTCTTCATTAAGCGACCACTTTATATTTAAAAATGAGTAAAATTCTAAAAAGTATAAAGTTTTATTTTCATGAACAATTCGTAATTCGAATTCAATAAACATTTTTGTGGCCAGCATTCTAAAAGAAAAGTTTTTACTGTGTGACAATACTTATGACCTGACTAGGTATAATATACACAATAAGAAAATATATGAATTAACTGTTTGTATGATGATTCTGCCAATTTATTAATTAAGTGTTCCTGAACCTTCATCTTGAACACGTAAAGATTGTTAGCCGTCCTGGTTTCCAGAGGTAGTGCCTTCCAAAGGAGAATAGATTGAATGTGGAAAGAAGAATGAACAAGCTATGGGAGGGACATAGGATAAGAAGGTTGTTCGTAGAGCGGAAGTTTCTCTTATGACTAGCGCTAAGCAACAGAAAGTAAGGAGATAAGTAGGAAGGGGAAATGGGAGACATCAGTATAGAATAAAGGGTGGTGAGTGCACATAAACTACGATGTTGACGAATAGGTAACCATTTTAATTGAGATCAATACGTGGATACATGGTCATACTTTCGAAGATTGAAAATGAATCGAATGCAGTTATTCAAAAGACGGTCATATTTATTTAGAAGATCTGCATTCAGGTCGAAAGAACACACATCGCCATAGTCGATTTAGGGAAAAATTAAACTTTGCACAAGCATTGTCTTAATTGCAGATGGTAGAAAACTTTTAAGGCGATAGAGAGAATGCAGGGTACAGGTGATTTTCTGGCTAACGGTCGTTATTTGATCTTTCCAACTCAAAGTTTTTTACACGTGGTAGAGCCATGCTACAGCTATATTAATAGTATTATAGTTGTAACACGAATGGGTCAGCTCGTACGGAGAAGGACCACGCTCTCACAGAATAACAGCGTAAAATGCCAGCTTAACGCTGCTTTGTTTCGTATAGTGAGTGTAAAGAACCGGCGACCCATTTTACTGCAAGAGGCATTCTGTCTTAGTCCTTACGGCTGATAACGCATCTGCATATAAATTCGCAAACGATGATAGATGTAGATGTTCGCGCCAAACGCTGTTGTCGGAATCGACGTATAGGGGGCGCGCGGCTCTGGGCGATACTGGTTTGAAGTTCGGCCGAGCCGTGGCAAGCGCGCGGGTTGCTACGCGAAGTGGTAGTGACCTATGATCCGTGCACTCCCTGTTAGTTTGTGTGTTAGGCTTTATAACAAACGAGAGTTAGTGGCTTCTGTAAGTTAATTAATCGTACGATAGAGTTACTGGACTGTCATCGTGACGAACGAGGAAAGTGACTGTGGTCCGGCGCCGAAGCAGTCTGAAGCGGTGCAGCATTTTGGAGCAGCCTGGAACTCGGCCGCTGCTGGACGCCTATGCTTGACAAGGCCCCACACATTCACACCTCACTGTACACTACTCGCCATCCACTATTACATACATTCACGGCCTGCCCAAGCCTTGGTGCGAAGTTAGCTTCGGATAATGGTAAGTACTACGAGTTTCTAGCTTCCTCCCATATTGTTTATTGTAATTAGGAAATTCCACGTGGCCATATTTTGGCCCCGTCCCTCTGCTGCTCGTCGATGGGATTACTCATGGGCCCTAATCCCGTCATCCTTGATTGGGGCAGCTAGGGGCGTGTACAGTAGATGTCTATGGGCCACAGCAACCACTTACCATCAGGTGGACTGTGTGCTCATTTTTCACCCTTATTCTATAAAAAAGTGAAATCAATTTATAAATCTAGATCCTTCACAGTAGAACACAATTAAAGTGGTATTGAAAAAGATAGGAGGTTACGGCTACCAATTATTATGGCCTGATACTTCGAACGGTTGACCATTAGACCAAACCTGTGAGACTAGTTCTTAATGTACTCAAGGTTCCAGTAATTATGTCCACCGCTGTAGAAATATTGGCAATACTCGCTTGTGTGTACAATTGCAAGTCATCGGCATACAGATGATACGCAGACTGAAGGTTTTAGGTAATGAGATTAATAAGTATAGAAAACAACAAAGGAGATAATATGACGTCTTAAGGAACACCAGCATGTATGTCAAGCCAGCTAGATGATATCTGATAAAAACCAATCCAATGCTTCAGATAAGACCATAAAAAGAGAAAGGATGGAAATTAGAATGTCATAACTGATGGTATTAAAAGCATTCAAGAAGTCAACTTAAAGCAACACAGTGACTTTAGTGTCCTCTATGCCTGCCCTAATATCACCAGTTACTTTCAGGAGTGCGGAAACGGCACTATGACCGGATAATCCAGAATGCAAGAAACTTAATAAGTTATTACAGGAGATAAACTGCGAAAGTTGCTTGTAGACACAGGCCTCAAGGACCTTGGATAAGAAAGAAGGATGGATATAGGTCGGAAATGATTGGGTAAAGTGGGATTACGGATCATTTGTAAGGGAATAACGTAAGCCTTACGCCACAAAGAAGGAAAATCATCAGAATCCAAGGAGAAATTAATGATGTGCGCGATAACTGGGAGGATATGGTCAAGTATATAGATCATCATCCGTCGGCTGATGTTATCGCAACCTACAGTATTAGATTTAATGGAAAGGATTGTCTTCTTGATCTAATCCACAGCTAATGGAGAAAATTGCAAAGACATCAATGTCGGGACGAGGTAAACCCATTAAGTGGTCAACAGTAAGACGCTTGGTCTGGTGATCAAGAGGACTGTTGGAGACAAAATGAAAATTGATATCATCCAGATCAATCGTCTTCTGAAACTCACAACGGTGAAGTTTACCAATACCTATGGTCCCAAGGAACTTCCAGATATTAGCAGGGGAAGAAGATGAGATATTACTATGAATAAATCAGCGTTTGGCGTTATGTATCATCTGATTGCACCAATTCCTTGCAATTTTATAAAGAGTCCAGTTTTGATCACATCCATCGTATCTAAATTTGCTGAAATCTCATCGCAATTCAAACCCCAATCATCATCAATGGCGCAGGTGGATGCTTGAGCTTCATTTTTTTAACACTTATTAAGATGTAAATGTCTTCAAGGCAAGAGTGAATAGGCTTTTATTAAGCTAATACAGTACAGCAAATCATCATTACCACTTACCACCAGGTTATAGCTGACCCTGGCTTATTAGTTCATGTATTCATTACAGCTTTACGTCTTAATTCCTCCCACTTTTTTCCACCGTCGGACTACCAGGTGGTCGGTGGGTCTTTACGATTTTATTGCCGATATTCCATGCATTGACGACTCCGTGGCGCAGTGGCTTAGCAATGAATTGCTGCGCTGGTGGTTGCGGGTTCGAATCCCACACGGAACAAGTATTTGTATGACCTACAAACAACTGTTCCGGGTCTGGATGTCTGTCTTTGTGCAATTTGTGTTTGTAAGCTACTTCCACAATACAGGAGAAAATCCTAGTGTGGGGGTAACTTTTTTTAATGTTTATAATAAACATAAATTCGAACCAAACGGTTTGTTTTGTCTTTCGTTATGCTTAGCAGTAAGCGGGGGGAATAATTTGGCAGCGTCTGTCTTTCCATTTTATTATAATCTAGATGTCTTCTAAGCAAGTATGAACAGGGTAAAAGATTTAGGCTTTTATCGCGCTAAGACAGTGTAATTTACCTTATAGGGCTTCATCACCACTCACTACCAGGATTCTAATGTCTCCCATTTACAGATGAAGTGTTGGCAACAGTATATCATTTACATTGGTATTATTTTTACAAGGTGACATAAACACTGTTAGATTTCTACTGCAAGCGGGCGCTGACGTGAACCTCGCTTTGAGCACGGGTCAGACGCCGCTTCACCTGGCTGTGCTAGAAGGACACTTAGCTATAATTGAACTCTTACTGGAAAAAGCAGCCGACTTTCAGGTAACCTTCCACTATAAATGTACAAGCATTTAGATAAATTTTGTAATTTTATTCTCAAGAATAACTATGGCTTTTGACGCAATTTTTTTATAATGATGCTGTCCATTTTCTTGTGCCCGTGTAGTGTAGGTGTAAGAATATCCACTGCTCTATATCGTCTCGTGGGTGTCGAGCAGCAACAGAGGGAAACAAACCAAGAGATGGGCAGAAGCGTCTTCCTAACAACAACTAAATAGTAAATAATTGAGGTTGCCAACACCACTACTAATATCACTCGTTTGTGGCAATCTGTGGAGAAGTCTAAGTTCAGCCATAGACTTTTATAGGATGTATGAATGTATATGCGTTGAATTGCAACGCTGAATGCCACGGTTTCGAATCCCGAACAAAACGAGTATTTGAGTAAAGATTTAAAAAAAAAACCTTGTGAACATATAATCTGCATAAGCCGTAGTTTTTGAAGAAAAACTTCTTTATCGACCTACTCGAGAAATTTAGTACGGTATTAAAATACAAAATTATCACGTTTTCTTGTTACGTTTCACCGCCGGGGCTGATTGAGTATACTATTGTTGTAAAATAAAAAATAAAATAAAATGATATGTTGTATATAAGTTTCTTTTTGTACGTGTGTAGACCATTACACGCACACTTTTTATTATTTCAACTTGTTAAGATGCTGCTGCCCATCTCTTGTTTCATTTTCCCTATGACGTCTTTTACTTTTACATATATCAACTTCCTACATCTCTTAACAGGGCGTCATTCCATCTAGTGGGCCACTCGACAACTTTTGTTCCCCATAAACAAGCATATGATTTAATAATTTTCAATATATATTACCTTTATTTGTAAGTTACTCGAATTCAAATTCAATATAAATTTACTTGCATTTGTGAACTATTTTATATTTTTTAATAGGATAGGGTGACAAACGAGCACACAGTCCACGTGATGGTAAATGATTGCTATGACCCATTGACATCTACATCTATCCTCAAAAAAGTATTAAAATGCAGATGCCTTGTCACCCGTGAGGACTAAAATGGAATGTCTCGTTTCCAGTAAAAAGTGTCTCCGGTTCTTTACACTTACCTTACGAAACACAGCAGTGTTAATCTGCTATTTTACGGTGATATTCTGTGAGAGTGTGGTCCTTCCCCGGTCGAGCATACCTATTGGTGCTACAATCATAATATAGCTGCGGCATAGCTTTACCACTTAAAATAAATATAGGTAAAGAGTTAGCTTCTTTACCTATATTCATTATACGTATAAATCCTAAAAACTAATTACGTTCGCTCCATTCATCAATTTTGAATTAGATGTATAATATATTTTTATATTTAATACAAATATATTTAATACAAATATATAATATATTTGTATATTTAATACAAATATATTATACACCTAATTCAAAATTTACGGAAATGCAAATTGTAATTTAATTATAACAAATTGTAATTTAATTATAATGTAATGCTTATTATTATTATAATTATTTTATTACATTACTCTAATTGTAATTATATTTGAATAAATTTGAAAATATTAATTATATGTTGGGATACTTCATTATATTATATAGGTTTGTATTGTGAATAATTTTTTTTATTATAATGTATAAAATATTTTTATTTTTTTACACTAACAAGATGATATAGGGCAGTAAATTCTCTTCCACCACACTACACAGCGAGGCCCATCCAACACAAGTATTATCAATTACTTACTGGGGATGTCTCATTTATAATCCATGCAACTGTTAGAGACAAATAAACATTTTGATTTTTTTTAATCAGGCTCGCGATATAAACGGATTACGTGTGGAGCACTACGCAGTTGACTCTCGGAATTTGGAAGTCATTCGATATATTCTGGAAAAAGATGGAGACGTTAAAGTACGCGACAGCAACGGGTGGACACCACTATTTAGGGCAAGTAAGTGAAGATTATTCTCTTTCTTTATTCATTGTAATATTAGAAGTAAAGTAAGACTTTAAAAGAAAGGGAAAGAAAAGGAGTCCAATCACCTTTTCTGCCTAGGTCATCGTAGTTGTATACGTCTAACATTTCACTTAGGAAAGGGCAAACTCAGCTTTAATAAAAAAGGTCATAATGACACCACGGTTGACCGACGACCTGGACCGCTTGATGTTTAATGCAATCCCGATGGTCAGATTGTTTCTGGCGATGATAGAAACGATGAAATCTGGACCTGAGGTGATGGCTTTAAAGACCTGCCGGGCTATTCACAATCGCCTCGGGAAGCGAAATCGACTCGGATTCGATAACTACTCGCACCGAAACCAATAAACGCTATTCACATTTAACGTTCGGATAAAGGTCACTTAGATACATCCTATAACTATTGTATCGTCATTTAGTAACATGCATTTACGAATTTTGTAGATAAATAGGCTTTTTTATTTTTTTTAGAGTAAAGCCTGAACAAAAACATAAGGCAATATTTCTGGTGTTAGCCATTGATATCGTATACAAAACATATATAATTTAACTATATAATAAATAACAAAAAAACTGAGATATGTCTCGCTTCACAAAGCAGCATATATATATATATATATATATATATGTTCTTAACTGCTTATATATATATATATATATATATATAAGCAGTTAAGAACATATATATATATATATATATATATATATATATATATATATATATGTTCTTAACTGCTTATATATATATATATATATATATATATATATATATATATATATTACCTTGTTATTCCAAGTATTTTTCACCACATTTCGAATGTTATTCTTTGTCAAGAGGAATCCCCAATATGCAGCGACTGACTGCTCTTTAGACTTACGTAAAACGGTTGGATGTACAACAAGGCTGGTATTCTTTCCAAGCATCTTCCGTGCTAATGTTACCCGAGGCACTTTGAAAGTTTCTGCAGCCTTTTCTTTGACACCCCTCCCCCCTGCCTGCATTCATATCTTTATCCAGGTCTTCCGCTTTACATGAATTACATGTACGGATTTGACCTTGGAGTATTTTGATACGTGCGTTATTCAATGACTACCTGTAATAACAAGGAACAGAACACAAATAAACAAAAACATAACCTAACCTCTTTTTCGTTTATTTTACGTGGTAGAGCCATGCTGCAGCTATATTAATAGTACAGATGTAGCACGAATGGGTCGGCTCGACCGGGAAAGGACCACGCTCTCACAGAATACCAGCGTAAAATGGCAGCTTGATACTGCTATGTTTCGTATGGTGAGTGTAGAGAACCGGAGACCCCTTTTACTGGAAAAGAGGCATTCCATCTTAGTCCTCACGGGTGAAAACGCATCTGCATTTTGATTCGCAAACGAGGATAAATGTAGATTTCTATGGGCCACAGCAACCACTTAACCATCAGGTGGACTGTGTGCTCGTTTGTCACCGTATCATATTAAAAAAAAAACAAATAAACAAAAACATAACCTAACCTCACTTTAGCGACACATTAAACTTACCACCCTCTTATTCACCCTCTTACCTAATTCTATCAACTAAATATAACTGGGTACTTAATACTATAGAGAGCCATAATATGTTATTCCAGACCGTGAAGTCTCAGAGAAGACAACTTTGAGTACTAAGATGTAATGCCTTCTCTGTTAAGGTTAGTTGTATTAGTATCGCGAAAATAAGTTTATTTGTCGCTTCATTTAAAAAAAAAAACAGATTACTTTTTTATTTTATTATCTATTTTTATTTAAAAAGGGTTTTATCCTACAAAGATATGTCAACCTTATTGTAACATACCGTGTTCCTGTAACACAAATCTTAAGTAATTAGAAAGGCGGCCTCAATGTGGTAAGAATATGCAAATGAATGATTTTGCTGCCGCTGAGTGTGGCTCCGCAAGTATACTCAAAAACCAACCCGTTTTACACAAATTAATATTAAATTTTTGCACCAGATTTTCCTTTCTCTTTGATATTTGACACATTATGCTAGCATATTATGTTGGACATCTTTATAATGTGACAAATATTGCAATTGGGCGATCAAATATACAAACGTTTTATTGGGGTAATGTCCAGATCGTAACCTATAAGCAGCAATTATATGGTTTCTATTCATTTCAATATTATTATACCACGGTATCCGAAGCGGCTGAGATTGAATTGTTTTATAACATATTCATTTTTCCTTGCTTCTTTCACCGAAATACTGTCTAAATTTATCATAATAAAGGTTTTTGAATTTTGTCATTGTTTCCGTGTAAACTAAAAAAATATTTAATTCAATTCCTTGCGTTATAGCGGCTTTTGCTAATAGATCAGCCTCTTTGTTTCCCAAATTAATTTAGAAGCCAGGTCTCATTTTTGATCGAGTATTGGAATAAGTAAAAGTCAGCAACGAGCTGTAAGTCTTCATATTTTAGATAATATGCCCCATAGACACCTACATCGACCGGGAAAGTTTCTTGTGACGAATGTAGAGAACGGAAGACCCTTTTAACTTTATACGAGGTATTCCATCCTCGTGCTCAGGGGTGATAACGTGTCTGCATTTTTTTCGTAATTGAGGATAGATGTAGATGTCTATGGGCCACGGCATCCACTTATCTTCAGGTGGATTGTCTGCTCGTGTGTAACTCTTATTCAATAAAAAAAAACATCTAACCTCGATCAAGACTCAAACTACAAATGTGTTGTTGTATTTCACTAATACAAAATGCGTCTTTACCAGTACATAGTGTCTCCGGTTCGTCATACTCACCTTATCACGTTGGTGTTCTACGCGAGCGTGGTCCTTCCTCTATTAAGAGAAACCATACGTGTTGTGGTTATAATAAGCTACGGTCTGGTTCTACCACGCATAAATGTGTCTCAGTTCTAGCACAGATTCTATCACGCTATATAATAAATTTGTAGTAGCTTTAACACGTGGTAGAGGTAACATGCTGCAGCTATATATTATTGTAGCAGGAATAGGTCGACTCGACCGTGGTAGGACTACGTTCTTACAGAATACCTGCGTAAAATAGCAGCTTAATGCTGCTGTGTTTCGTATGGTCAGTATAGAGAACCAGAGACCCTTTTTACTGGAAACTTTTTGATTCTTAATCGAGGATAAACATAGATCTATGGTCCACAGCACCACTTACCATGAGGTACGATTATTCTAAAAAAAAACTCAGAAGCTAAGTACTAAACATAGTTTCACTGTACGCGAGCATACTGGGTTCAATTTTTAATTGCAATTTTAATTGCCGACTTAGCATGTGCTCGGCGGTGAAGGAAAATTCGGGTAGGAAATCTATATGTGAGACAGAGACGACAAAGAGACATAATGTGAAGTCCGTCAATAAGACTTAATGCTCCATCACGAACTTTTTTTTCTATAGGATAAGACATCTACATATATCATATATTACAAATCAAAATGCAGATGCGTTGTCACTCACCAGGACTAAGATGGAATGCCTCATTTCTAGTAAAAAGGGTCTCCGGTACTCTACACTCACCATGCGAAACACAGCAGCTTTAAGCTGCTATTTCACGCTGGTATTCTGTGAGAGCGTGGTCCTTCCCCGGTCGAGCCTACCCATTCGTGCTACAACTATTCTATTAATATAGCTGCAGAATGGCTCTACATATATGTGGTAGATAGATACAATATTACTAAGTATAAATGTGTGTGTGCGAAGCACAATTACACACGTAAAAAATTATCTCAGAAATGAGAAGAGATCTATGCTAAGCTATGGGACTTATATAGGCTCTTAAATTTCTTAAGTTTTTAGCCATTTTATTCTATTACAGCCTATAAAAGTCCACTGCTGAACATAGGCCTCCCCCATAGATTTACTCACAGGGAGGATTTTGTCATAGTTGTTACGCTTGGCAGGTGGCTAGAGGACTGCAATTATTTTATTATTTTGATCTGTTATCAGGAAAATTCAGCTGCCCATCTCATATTTCCGTTTGAACTTATCTATCAAAAAGTTTAAATTTTTTACTAAGCAAAAATTTTTTAGTAGATAAGGTTTATTATTATATTATAGTTTTTTCTTTAAAAATTCCTGCTAGATTTCTTGCTCGTTCTATCCAGGACAGGTTTTTTCCAAACCAGTGGTATAGCTTTAATGATGTTCAATAAGTGTCCCTCCATATTGAATAAAATTAATTCTATTCTATTCAGTTTCCCTCAGTCGCCTCTTACTACACCCACGGGGCGGTAATTCTTACACCGATGACACTGTTTTATTACTTCACTTATATGTTTTTAGTTCTGTTAATTCCCAATTAATTATAACATTAGTTTGTCAGGGAGCAGATACGGAAATCATAGAGGAGCTTATATCCCGAGGTAGTTGCGTCAATGTGACAGACCGTGCTGGACTCACGCTTGCCGCTGCAGCGAGACTATTGAAGGACAATATGTAAGATTATCATTTTCCTACGAATTTGTACGCTGAAGTGGCAATCGGCCAGCCACATAGCCCGAAGAAACCACAACCGATGGGGAAGAAAGGTTCTCGAGTAGCAGTCTTGTACTAGTAAGCGAAGTGTAGAGCAGCCCCCCACTAGATGGGAGCAGGTGGCTCAGAAATGTGCTTTGTAGCATTCCTTGGCGATGATGTTGATGATGATGACCATTTTCTCAAATTATTTTTCATTTTTGGATTACATAAAAATATAAATACAACTTAATATGGATGTAGTTCTGCAATAAAATAAATGTTATTATTATTATAAAGACATTGATGACATTAAACATATTTGTAACTGGCTATTAGTTATAACAGGTGAAAAATATTAAAAAGAGAACTTATTTTCAACTTGGTTGCTGACCATTGATAAAAAAGTTACATAAATTTAAAGAAAGAAACGTTATTTGTGGTCCATTCTCTACATAATTCTTCATCGGAAAATTTTCTTCATGATGAATGCCGAGAGTTTGGCGGGAAATTGACCGGCGGCGGTTTGCTGCTCCTGTATTATTGTTTAAATAATGGTTTGAAGTGGACTTTGATATGTAAAAGTGGTGCGATTTTGTGTATTAATTGTCTACGCATGTGAACTATTAGTGGAAACAGTGAAACAAGTGCTCTGATGGTGATGGATTCTCAAGATAAGCTGTTTGTTTGCATAGGCGCCTTTAGATACCATCGCCAACTGTCAGCTGTCTGCTGGATCAAGTTGCCGTCAAAATCTCCCAAGAACTGCACAATGTGACGCATCAACATATTGTGAAGCAGTGAACTATGAAGGATAATTACAAAAGACAAGGCTGTATGGCATAGTTCTTTTGCCTGCTCCCTCGAGCGAATAATAAAAACAACAACAACAACATGATGAATGCCAAATGGCTCATAATACATGAGTATAAAACTTACATGAGCTGCCTTATATTATTTTAAGGATGCTACTTCCCCATTATTACTTTCTCCGGTATCGTGGAGGCAGATTGCATATATAAACTTGACTTTTCTTTATATATAAAAATTACGTGTCACATTGTTTGTCCGCGATGAACTACTGAACTAATTTCAATGAAACTTTGCACATTGTGTGCAGTTTGGTCCAACTTGAGAGATAGGATACTTTTTATCCATATCCCAATAAGTGAGCTTCAATATGCAAATATTGTGCATGCGGGATTCGAACCTGCGGCCTTCAGGGCCACAACTCAACGCCAAGCGACTGCACCACGGAACTGTCATAAACTACTTTGATGAAGAAGAAATAACGATTAAAAAATTACTAAACATGAATTTTCTTTCTATATTTATATTATTACCTAGCTGTACCGTGTGACTTCATCCTCGTGGAGTTTATTACGATGAGATTTTATGGGTTTCAAATTTTTTGCACGGAGCCCTAATTATGTATCTATTATAAAAGTAGCCTAAGATACTCCTTATAACATCCGCTACCTGCCAGTGAAATTCCTGGCAAAATCGGTTTAATCAATTCGAAGATTAGCCGGCACAAACAGACAGACAGAGAGACAAACATTTTTAAAATAGTTTTTTTTTATAAGTACCGTATATCATACTTTCATATGCATATAGTAAAAATAAATAATTTTTACATTACAAACAAACTTCTATTTTAATTATATATACTTTTCTGTTGATTACTATACCACCTGATGGTAAGTGGTGAGGCACGCACCGAAAACGGCACAACGCACTGACTAAGCTTTACAAAGGCCATTGTCTTCAATGCAAGAGTGAGTGAGTGAGTGAGAGGCTTTTGTTTCACATTATAATCGGATGAAAAGACAGATGCTGGCAGATTATTTTACTCCTTCGCTCTAAGTATTATGAAAAAACCTTTATATTCACTTTTAACCGATTTCTCATCAGTGGCCGCAGACGCGACTCGGTGCTGCGACTAGTAGATGCAAGGTTCCCGCATGAGAAAGTACTCGCACACTTCACCAGGATCACTAAGAAGATATCCAGTGTACATTCAATGCTTAAATGAATTGCCTCCTTACAACAATTATTATTTTTATTTAATATTGATTATTACATAACACTTATTGAAAGTATTTTTTATTAACCACTGGTTTGGAAAATACCTCTGTCCTGGGAAGAACCAGCAAGAAACCCAGCGGGACTTTTTTTAAACGTTTTTCACTTAACAATATTTTTTAGTACAATTTTTAAATTAATTTCCATAGAACCATATACAATATACGTGGTAGGGCCATGCTGCATCTATATTAGTAGTATAGTTGTAGCACGAATGGGTCGACTCGACCGGGGAAGGACCACGCTCTCATAAAATGCCAGCGTAAAATAGCAGCTTAACACTGCTATGTTTCGTATGGTAAGTGTAGAGAACCGGAGACCCTTTTTACTGGAAAAGAGGCATTCCATCTTAGTCCTCACGAGTGACAACGCATCTGCATTTTGATTCGCAAACGAGGATAGATGTAGATGTCTATGGGCCACAGCAACCACTTACCATCAGGTAGACTGTATGCTCGTTTGTCACCCTATACTATAAAAAAAAACAGCATGGTGGCGATCACTTTATATAATAACCCTTTTTGTACAGTTTTTCTTTAATAAAACTTTCAAACTTGTTCTGTTCTGGGATTTTGTTGTAAAAGCGTATACCTTGCCCCATACATGAATTGCTAATTCTGTGGAGTCTAGTTACTAGCATTACAAGCTTATGTTTGTTCCTAGTGTTTAAGGTATGAAATCCTCATTCTTATTAAAGCTATTTATGTTTTTATGTAAATACATTACTTTTTCATAAATATATTGCGATGCCAAAGTTAATATGTTTATTTCTTCAAAAATTTTTCTGAGGGACTCTTTACAATTTAAGTTATAAATTACCCGTACGGCTTGCTTCTGCAAAACAAATATGGCTTCAATATGAGTCGCATTACCCCATAGCTAAATTCCATAAGATGTCACGCTAAGAAAGTAACTAAAATCAACTAATCCATCTGTCTCAACATATGTGAGACTTCTAATCTTTCTTTTTTTACATAGGAGAGGGGGCAAACGAGCATGCGGCTCACCTTATGGTAAGTGACTACCGCCGACCATGAACAACCGCAACACAAGGGGAATTGCAGATGCATTGCCGGCCTTTTCAAGAGGATTAGACTCTTTTCTTAAAAGGTCCCTAAGTCATATCGGTCCGGAAAAATCGCTGGTGGTAAACTATTCCACAAGGAAGTTGTGCGAGGAAGAAAACTTCTAAATCGCACAGTAGTGGACCGCCAATCATCCAGATGGTGTGGATGGTATCGTGAGTTCTGCCGCGTTGTGCGTTCGTGAAATTTGGCGGCTGGGATTAATCCGAACAATTTCTCAGAGCACTCCCAGTGGTAAATGCGAAAGAAAATGCAGGTCAATGATGCGGTCAAGTGGAAGGAGCTGGCACTGGGGAGCCCCAGCCCAGAGATGGGAATAGTATTCATGTGAGGCCGAACCTGCGCCTTGTAAAGCTGCATGCGTTGTGCCGGCATGAAATACTGTCCCGCTCTGCTGAGCGCGCCAAGCTTTTAAGAGGCCAATTGGGCCTTCTCTTCCAAAAGACCACGAAACTGCACGTCACTCGATATGTCGACGCCGAGGATTCCGATACTGGCTGAAGTAACAAGGGGAGTGCCTGGAAACTGAGGAGATACGACAAAAGGTTGAATTTTAGCGGTAAACGCGCAAGCTTGTGTCTTCTGAGGATTAAACTGGACCAGATTTAGACTTTGTCCAGCAAAGACTCGACTTCAGATACAAGTTTGTTCCTGTACTCGGTGACGTTTTTCCGAAAAATATTGTCACGGCCAGTGTATAGAGCATCACCAGTGCTGTCATCCGCATAGTAATGAATGCTACCGGCTTGCAACATATCATTGATATGCTGAAGAAACAGCGTGATAGCACACAGCCTTATGGAACACCAGCGTTAATAGGCTTGTACTCGGAGCGTGCACCATCTACAACGACCTTGAAGCTCCGATCTGTAAGAAAGCTGGTGATCCAATTGCACAATTTCTCGGGAAGCCCATAGGAAGGGAGCTTCGAACGATGCGCTTTGTGCCAAACCCGATCGAAGGCCTTCGCAATGTCCAAACTAACGGCCAATGCCTCCCCCTTGGACTCCAATGCCTCCGCCCATCTATGAGTCAAGAAGACCAGAAGATCACCAGCTCATCGACCCCGATTAAACGATAGGCCTGTAGTTGGACGGGTCTGAGCGGTCGCCTTTTTTAGGGATCGGGTGGACAAAAGCTGTCTTCTCATGATTTCGGGACTACGCCTAGGGAGTAAGGGAGTAGGAGTACCGGAAAAGACGCGTTAGAACCGGTGCCAACTCCGGAGCACACATCTTCATCACAATTGGGGGGATTCCGTCAGGCCTACTCCACTTGTGGATGTCCAGGAACATGAGTGCTTTGCGAACCGAGCGCTGTGAGAACCGCACATCCGGCATGGAGAACCCACGCAGCGGGATGGTCGGCGTTGTTTTCCCCCCGTCACCTAGAGTCGAGTTGGACGCAAAAACGGAGCCCAAAAGGTCGGCTTTCTCTTTTTCGGCAATGGCCAGTGAGTCGTCCTCCCTGTGCAGAGATGGTAGTGATGGCTTACAGAAATTCCCTTGGACAGCCTTGGCGAGAGACGAGAATGCACGGGTTCCCGAAGGGAGATGAACTAGTTTCTCGCCAATTCTGCCTATGTGCTCTAACTTTGCCTTGGCAGTAACTCTTTTGAAGGACTTGGAGGCAAAGTTATACGTCTTTTTAAGCATGCTGGTGTTGACATCCCGAGCCGCCGAAGCCTTAGCCCAGGCCCGATAGCACTCCCGCTTACTGCGTAATGCATTCTTACAGGAGCGTCCAAATTAAGGCTTAGATCTGCCACCGATGGGTACCACAAATGATGGAATAAATAGTTCCATTCCCTGTAGCACCACATCAGTGATAGTGTCAGCAACAGCGTTGGGATCATCCGGCGAGAAACAAACCCGCCCCCATGGGTAGGAAGCAAAGAAAGACCGCATTCCAGCCCAATCCGCCGACTTGTAATGATAAAAATGGCGGCAACCTGCAGAACGCATCCGCGAGGGGAACGCGAGTGGCACTACACTCCGGATCAGACAATGGTCCGAAAAGCCGAGAGCGGCATGGAAACCTGATATCCATCTGGATGTGAGGTCAGCAGAAGGTCCAACAGGGAAGGTATATGGCCTTCCACATCTGGAATCCGCGTAGGCGATGTAACCAGTTGTGTCAGACCATATGCCAAGGCAAAGTCATAAACAGATCTCCCCGCATGATCAATTAAACGTGAACCGAGCCATTCGGCGTGGTGGGCGTTAAAATCACCAAGGATTACGATCTCTGCGGATGGGACCTGTTGTAGCAAGGAATCTGTAGCCATTTGGACGTGGTCGAGGAGTCGGTCTGTTTCGGCATTATCGCTATGGGGCCTATAGAGGCACCTTTAGACGCGCGGATGGTCGTCGCTATCTATGCATAGCCAAAGGATGAACATGTCCGAACCTTCAAGACTGCCGAGGCGTCGAGAACAGATGTCCTCTCTGACGTATACGCAAACTCCAGCCCGAGGCACAAAGGAGTGTTCCAGTTTGTACTCCGGGTAGGAGAGGACACCTGCGTCTCGGTCAGAAAGAGCAAGGCCGGCTTCGCCGTCTTGAGATGGTAGTGGACGGCGTTTAGGTTCTAGTCAAGTCTCCTGATGTTGCAGAATTTCACAGATAGCGTGGCAGGGGTCGCCTTGGTCTTGTTGCTCTGTTTGTCCCGATCAATTATTGTGTGGAGCGGAATTTCGCCCCCCCCCCCCCCCCCCGCGCAGAATACGCGGGGTAGCCTGAGCACCCATGAATACTCAGGAGTGGAGTAGCATGGTCGTGGATGCTCAGCGAGGGATGGGCCTCCGGTCACTTGCACTCACCAGACGAAACGCAGAAGCAGAGCTTACACTTCACGCCGGTATTCTGTGAGGTCGTGGTACTAACCCGGCTCGAGCCGGCCCATACGTGCAACATCAAAGGCTGCCGCGTGGCTCTACCACCGTTACAGCATATGCTGCAAAACTAAGTTTGCTTGCTAATTTAGATATATGGGGGCCCCATTGAAGTTTCGCGTCAATAGTAATACCAAGAAAAACAGTGGTATCCACAAGACTCAACTCTTTCCCATTTAAGAGCACATTGGTATTCGAATATTTATCATTAGGTATTGTAAATTTAATACATTTTGTCTTATTGTCGTTTGAGTGCAAATTGTTGGCGTCAAAACAATCCACTAATTTTGAAAGCGCCTCGGCTAAAGGAATTCTTGCCTGTCAAACTCTTTTCTTTAAGCTAAAGAATTACAATAAACCACGTTTTGTAATTAGACCGATCGGGTTTATGTTTTTGTACTCGAAATAGGTATAAAAGTTTAGAATATAAGTATCATACCACTTTATTGTATTATTTTATATGAAATTATTTATAGTTTTAGAATTAAAATTTTAGAAATAAGACACATACGAAAAGTTATCTAATTTTATTATTACAAATTAATAAAAATATTTACAAAATACTTAAAACTATCGGAGTATTGAATTGTATTATGCGTGTAAAAAGTGGTAACAGGTGAGGTTAAATTTATATAATGTCAAGGAGCCTATTGCCTAGCATTCGACAGAAAGAAAAAGATGCGCCTTATTTTGTTTTAATAAATACCCCACAGCCTATTCCCCCTACACTAAAATACTATTTTCATTCACAAAATGCATTTAATGGCAAGGCTTAATAATTTAATCAAATAAATAAATTAAGAAATACTTAGCCTTACAATATTAGGATAATTTCAGACATAATATTAGTAATATTAAATTTGTTAACCAATATGTGTGCATTGATCTATTTGCTGCAGCAACTGCTTCAAATATCACGTAACTTTTCATATCATCATCATGAATCTCCTCATTTTCAAAATGTTCAGATGGTTTGTCCTTGCCGTTTTCAAATTGCACCATTTTTACATCTCTCCTTTTACGCATTTGTCCATCACTTTCTTGTTCATCACGATCAAACTCTTCTGCTTCAATATCTTCAACATTGCTATCTTCATTATCCTTCCGTGCTTTAACTTCGTGATTTTCACTTCCTGCCGCTTTTAATTCATTAACTTTGACACTTTTTTTGGGCACTAATGAACTTACCAATTTAAGGTGCGTTAACGATAAATGAGATGACTGATTTGGGTCCTTTTTTATGTTTTCAGCTACTGGTGGTGGAATCTCACCTTTATATGGCCCAAATTGAGGCATCTTTAAAAGAAGTTCTGTATTGGCCGGAAGCTTTGAAGAAAATAATTTTGAGTTTACTTTATTTATGTCAGGTAAGCTAGTTAACGTTGCCGCAGATATAGTTTTTCCATCATACGTTGTAAAAGTCTGCTCCAGTGACAATTTTTGCGAGTTTTCTTTAGGTAATTTTGGATCTGGAGGTAAATACTGTGGACTAACTCTGTCAGACTCCATTACTAAATCCGAAGATAAATTTTTATCCATATTTTTTTTACCAAATAAATTATTTGATTCGCTTTCCGTTTTCACGTAAACAGGATGTGGCCTATCTTCTTTTGCGTGATTTATTGGAAATATCTCTTTTGTTCTATCGTTTGTAGTAAGTAAGTGGTCAGGTGGTGATGGAATAAACATAGGCTCAAATGTTTCCGTGATTTTATCACTCGATATTTGGACGGGATAAACATGATTGGAAATATACTGTGGAGATTCTTCATAGTCTTCTACCACATCAGTGTCTTCTCTCCTATTTGCATTATCTACATCAAAATCAGCGATTCGATCTTCACCAGCCATTAAAGGTTCTCTTATTATAGGCTTAAAACCACTTTCAATAACAATAGAATCTGGCTTAAACCCTGTATTAACTGCTGGTCTTAACGTAGAAGATTCAGAAGACTGACCAATAAAATCTGAGGACTTAATTTCATTTTGTGGTTGATGTTGCTCATGTATGATTCGCGGAGTTGATGATTGAGTGATTTCGGGTATGTGCTGTGTATTAGATTGCTGCTGATTTGTTTGAATCATTTGCTGATCTAAAGGAATCGGATTCTCAACGAGCTTACCCAAAATAATTTGTCCTTGTCCTTGTGGCTTTGTTGTAAAGATTTGAGGAACACTATGTTGAGCAATTGCATCACTAGTTCCGGGTAGAGTTATTTGGCTTTTCACGACTTGATTAGCTATTATATCTGTTTTTCCTAGACTCAGAGTTTGACTTTGCGTTGGTTTAGGAATATTATGTCCTAATTTTCCTGTAATTATAGACTGAACAGAGCCATTTGGGAGTTTTGTTGTTCCTTGATTGAACTTCATAGGAGCTTGATTATGACTTGCCTTGATATGATGTAGTGGGGGCATCGATTTCATGGGTGGTATATTTGGTAGTGGTTGTCTATTCATGTTAGGTTGCACACGGTTGTTAGAATATTTAATAAAGGGTTTTTTCTGCATTCCATGCGAGGTGTGAGAATTCGGCATCGATAAGGGATAACCTGCATTATTACTTTTCTGATTCATATGAGGATGAGGCCTTCGTAAAATGATTTCAGGGGGAATAGGTCGTCTAAAATGTAATCTTAAATTACCTGCAGGCTTGCTTGGCATATTGGGTCTTAAAACACTTTGAAGTGTTAACGGTTTTTGGTTAGGTGGTAAGAGAAAACTATTTGGAACTTGTCCAATCTCAACCATGTATTCATCACCTTCACGAATAGGTTGCTCAGGCATATATTCCTTGACGTCCTCGTAAACCTGATACTGTGCTAGAGGTTTTTGAGGTAGATGCGTGGCATTCCTCTTCAATTCACCTTTCATCCTATCCTCCAAGCTCTCCACAGCTTCTATGACTTCTTTTATTTGTAATTTGGATATCGGCAATTCATACTCCTTTCCGCTTGAATAAAGATGATTTCTTTGAGAAAAGATTTCCCGGGAGAAGATGTCCTTATTGCTACTGAAATCGTTATAATTTGTTTTCATATTCATTATTTTCTCGAATTTCTTCTGTTCATCTAAAAAAAGATTGTCAGGCTTAACACGACTTTGTACCTGTATAGACTCCTGGCTAAACAAATCTCCTGGCAGAGCGACACTTTCGATTACTCTGCTTTCCTCAGCCTCTGTAGCGTCACACTCGTCTACTACATTTATCTTCCAACCGAGATAACGATGTGTGAAACACTGTAAAAGAAATACTGATTACACATGGGAATTCACATAAAACAATAATTAGAAATTTCTGTCACCCAGTAATGAGAAATACACAGAACTTCATGCGATACAAAGAAGACTTGAAAGGCTGAAACAGAAAATAGAATGGTTATATACAAAGTATGTAAGGCAGAAAGAATGGAATCTTATTATCTCACATTATAAAAACAAACATGACTGATGACATATTTTAAGCTCACAATACATATACTACGTAAATATATGATTCACATTTAAAATTCAATAATGAATTAAAGATTGGTAATATATAAGAAATTTATATTATTTAAATAGCGAAGAAATGGAAAGGTAAGATTTTTAGCAAATAAGATCCCCAAATTGAAATATAGTACTTATTGTGTTACAAGTACACGTCAATAATTTTATGATTTCAATACTTAGAATATACGTGACAGATAGACTTATGATGATTACAAAAACATTTGAAGTAAATTATAAAATTAACAACAGTACCAACTAATATCGATCGAATGATTTCTCTCACCTGATAGTAAACGGTATCTGGAGTATTTCTGTCGGGAGTCCATGTGACGACGCCCGGGTTGCCCTCCTCGCAGACGAGTGTGAGCGAGCGTTGGTAGGCTCCAAAGCTGGGATACTCGTCGGCCTCTGGTCCGGAGTTATCAGGCGTCCAGTTACAAAGGCGACCTACGCCCGTTGGAATCAAATCGCCATTGCGTGTGCGTCGGACTCCCGCGTAGATTTCCACTCCCTGAATAATTATTTTAATATTCATTAAAATGTAAGTTATAAATAAAACGGATGATATTATATTATACTCTCACCATAGACCATTATGGGACGAGTATGGTCGTCGTCGTGTATACCTGACGGACATGTTCTGCCTAAAGTTTATCGACCAATATGACGATATATTGAATATGAGCTAGAGAAGCGTAAGTATGTGGATTTTTACTAAATGGTAGGTGGAGTATATAGATGTAAAGGAGGCGAAAGAGTTGTGTCAGGATCTTGCCAAATGGAAACAAGTAGTCACTGCCTACCCTTTTGGTGACAGGCTTGACTGTTTATGTATGTTATTCCTACCGTTATATGGGGGAGGGTTATCATAATCACCGCGCTTTCATCAATGTATAATATAAATACGCTTATACTGCCAATTATTAACGATCGTAAGATATTTCGAGCATCTTCCTAAGTCGCAACGTATTATATGAGAGAAAGAAACATAATGTTAAAATGAAGAAATAATGTTGAATGAATTGGAATGAAAATAAGTGTTGGATTCTTTTACGTCAGCGCTATATTGTGGTTTTTTTTTTCATTTAATGTATTAATTGTTTATTATTACTTATTGACTATCAGTTTATATGTACTGTACGTTTGTATTTCACCTTTTTCTCCTCGTCGGTCTTGTGATAGTAGCCACCAACGGGGTCGTTGGTGATGTAGAAGGGATGATACCGAGCCGGCACTTCGGGGTTGTTGCCTCCTTCCACTACGAAGGTGTACTTGTTACCACGCACTACCGTGATCTCAGGGATTAGCAGACCGTTGATGTACCATGAGATGCCCCAGCCAACATGACCTGTATATTGTGTAATTGTAAGTTTCAATATATCAAGTTTTCCTTTAATTATTCAATATTTGGGATCATCGGTATGAATAACGTGATTCACAGCATTCTAGAAATGGTCCTTTTTGTTCTCCAAAAAGAAGAGAGAGAAAGAGTTAATCTAAGAGTAATAATAAGTATACAAATCGCTACATCACTGCTATGGGGGGGGAGGGGGCTATTTCAACAATGGGCTTGATGGGCCGTATTAGTAGAAGAAATGAAATATTATATTTATGTCTTTGCCGTGAAAAATTGCAATTTTTAAATCTACTACTATTTCAAAATAAAGTGCTTCTGACTGAAGAAAACCCGACGAAAGTGCATAGGTGTCTTCTTTTTTGTGTTAAAAAATAAATATTGAAAATGCATTGAAAACTCTTTATTTTTCGACGTAATTGAAATTTAATTTGCCAACAAAAATACAACTAGTAACATCAATGAATAATTCTAACCTGTTATTGCGGAGTAGCCTTGTTTCCCTCCAGTTGGTCCCATCTGCGCGTAGAAGACACCATCTGGCGGCTCGTAGCATTGGATGCCGGGAATTTCCCAAGGAGTAACCTTCGCGGTTGGTTTCGGAGTTGGTATTGGATTGGGTTTGATTACTGCACTCTGTAAGACAGTGTATGTTGCGTTTAGTTTACTTTTATGTTCTTTTAAGTAGGTAATATAAAAACGAGAATGTCGAAGTCTGCATCGTGTTGCGATGACAAAGTCAGGATCATTTAATTTTTTTTGGGTACTGATCAAGATAACTGACGAATAAAAAAAATTATACAGGATTATTATTATAGTATGAATAATTTATTTAAACTATTCTAAAGGAACTCCATCCGCGGCTGGTCGTTGCTACGGGTGATAAGAGGGCTGGTTCTTTTCTCGCTCAAAGGCTAAGTATAGCCATTCAGCGGGGAAACGCAGCCAGCGTTCTTGGCACGATACCGCGTGGAGTAGGACTATATGATAATTAAGTTTCTAGTTGTAGTCATATTTTTATTATAACATTTAGTTATTAATATTGTATATAATAAACATTGTATATTATATTATGTACATACGTTTTAAATATCTTAATGTAAAATGTAAAGTTACAGTCAACATACGTCCCAATGATGAGTACAGGCCTTCTCTAATTTCTAAGAGGATTTTTGGAGCTATGTAGTGTTTACCGCGCGGCCCAAGACTATTTTAAAATACTCTTGGGCTCTAAACTCTAACGCAGCGTCGATTTTTGTTTTATAAGATATACAAAGCTTGCGTCTGAGAAATAAGTATTAATTGATTGATACATTTATTTATTGTATAGCATTATATTAAAATGATACATATATAGAACGGTAGGTCTGGATATAGAATCTTTATAACCAGCCGTGCTCAGCTGAAGTATGTGTGCGCGAACATACTCGTAGATGCACTCTATTGTTTCTCATTCTCATAGTCCGATTGAACGGTAATCTAACACGACCGGAGGGAGATCGGGCGCAGAATGAACGGCTTTACGTTTTTTGATAAATACGAATAAAACACCTCCAAGTTTCTGACTCTAAGCTGCTACCGAACATTTCTGGACAGAAGAACCCAATAACTTGATTTTGGCCCCGGGATCACATGATTAACGGTCACGCTATCAACCACTAGACCACCGAAGCAAACAATTGAAAACAAATTAAAATAATAAGTTGAATTCGAACCTCGTGTTCTCTGTGTGCGGCGTGGTGAGGCGGCTGAGTGTCATGCGCGTGCTGCTCGTGCTCGTCCTCGCCCTCCGGCATGGGGCAGTTCCATACCGGAGCCCGCCCGAATTCAATGAACCTGTCACCCTGTATCATAACCATTCAGTTAATAGATTTTACAAGCTGTAACACCCTATTTCACCCCGTGAGGGTTTGAATTTTCCAATATCCTTTCTAAGTGGATGTTTATGTCGAGAAAGGGGTTTATATGCCAAATTTCAATTTACACATTATTTATACACATTATTGTACTAAAGGTACAAACGGCGGACTTAATGCCATATGGCATTTACTACCAGCCGACCGGAAAGTTAGTTTCAATTCCATCGGTCGTATAATTTTGGAGATCTCGTGATGAATGAGTCAGTGATATTTCGCTTATGTTATATATCTAGATGCTCTAGAAGACAAATGTATTGATTACTGCTCTCCTAAAAATTACAGAGATTGTAATTATTCAGGAGAGCAGTTTATATAAATTTTAAAGTTTGACCCGGTGACGTATCTTTTACTTCTGCTATTAGTTAGGTATTTATATGTTATACAATTAATTCTAAAGAAGTGTTCTCAACCACATGACAAATTACATTTAATTAACACTTTTGATCATCACGATGATGTAGATGTCTATGAGCCACAGCAACCACTTAACATCAGCTGGACTGTGTGTTCGTTTGTCACCCTATCCTATAAAAAAAGAAACCAACACTTTTTAAAGAAGTTAAGTCTTCCGATAGATAACGATTTAACAAGTATCGTAGATATTCCATTTGTTAAATACTCAGACTCAGATTCTCCATCAGGTGGACTGTGACTCTGGGACTAGGGCTCCAAATATTATTTGAAAAAACGGCTGTTAGTTATTAGGAGGCATTACTTTGCGGAAATAAGGCAAGAATGAATGGGTTTTTGTTACGCTAAGACAGTGCAATTTACCATCTTGGCCTTCATCACCACTTATCACAAGGTGGGATTGTGGTCAAACACTGGCTAAGTAAAAAAAATCAATCGATTTTGTGTTAGATAAAAATTTATTAACTAAGATCTGCGTATGGTAAATTGAAAAATTTTGTACAACCGACGTCAATATAAGTAAAATGAGAATATCATCAATATGGTCGAAGTCAATTAAATACGCATTATTAAGGATAACTCAAAAACGACTTATTAGATCTTGATTAAAATTTACATAAGATCACATGCAAAGCACCAATTTTCAAATAAAAAAAGAATCATCAAAACCGGTTCACATGGAAAAAACATTTCTCAGATAACACATAAAAAACTACAGTCTAATTTTTTTTATAGGATTGGGTGACAAACGAGCACACAGTCCACCTGATGGTAAGTGGTTACTGTGTTACCCATAGACATCTACATCTATCCTCAATAAATACTCAAGATGCAGATGCGTTTTCACCCGTGAGGACTAAGATGGAATGCCTCTTTGCCAGTAAAAAGGGTCTCCGGTTCTCTACACTCACCATACGAAACACAGCAGCGTTAAGCTGCTATTTTACGCTGGTTTTCTATGAGAGCGTGGTCCTTCCCCGGCCGAGCCGACCCATTCGTGCTACAACCATAATATAGCTGCAGCATGGCTCTACCACGTAAAAATCTAATTGAGAATCTTCTCCTTTTTTGAAGTCGGTTAAAAATAAAATGATGTGTCTTATCTAGTTTGAAGAGCATCTCCCGCCCTCCCTCAATTGACACTCATAATCCCAACACCACTACACTAGGAAAGTCACGCCACCATCGATAATACGACACGTGTTTCGTCTCCAAACGAGACATCCTCAGGTGAAACAACCGTTACATACCTTGGTGTAGTGATGATGATAAGACACTTCGTCAAGTGAGTTAAGAGGTCCAATCGCCCATATAATAGGCTGGCTGGTGTTGGTGTAGATGGGCAGATCTAGTTTGTCAGCGGCCTTAAGCGCACGCTGATACGTCACTATAGAGTAGCCGTTGACGAGAGCTGCGTTCAACAGCCGGATTGAGTTTGTGTTTTCCTGTAAATAAAATAAAAAGAATAAAAGTGTGTGTTAATAATTTAAAATTAAAATTTTTATACAGCCGACTTCAATACGAGTTATTAAGAATAACTCAAAAACTATTCGTCTGACCTTGATCAATTCATACGGGACCACACGACAAGTACCAGCTTTCAAATAAAAAAAGAATCATCCAAATCGGTTCACGCAGTAAAAAGTTATGAGGTAACACGCATAAAAAAAAAACAAAAACATACAGTCGAATTGAGAACCGTCTCCTTTTTGGAAGTCGGCAGAAAAGAAGAGAAAACAACTAAAGCTACAGCTAGAGTTCGGAAAATATAAATTAATCTTCTTTCTTCCCTCTCCCGTAAGTTTCGAAAAATTCTGAAAATAGTATTACATCACAAATTTGAAGTTCCTAATAATTATAGTTACATAATTAAGGATTTTTAAAAATCGATTCTAAAGTGAGAAAAGGCATGTACCCATCAGTGGGACAGTTAAATCCTATTTATCCCGTGGGAATTTCAAAAATCCTTCGTTATTCCTTGTCTACATTATAAGGGGAACGCCTATGCAAAATTTTAGCTTTCTGGTTCCAAGAGCTTGGGCTGGACATTGATGAGTCAGTGAATGATTACAGTAAGTGAGTCGGCACTTGTTTTTATACATATATAACTGTGGCCACTATAACTATACCCAGCGCGTTGTAGCCGCAGAAGAAACAATAGAAGAAATATAATTTTAAATTTGGAAGACTTATATTGTTGAATTGGGAATGAATAGTACATTCATTGAAGTTGAATGATACATAAATTTTAAATAAATTTGTCGGTGCGATACGCGCGCCACCTATTGTTAGTTACTTTTACTATGCCTATAACTTTCGAGGAAGTGCAAGCAATATTTTGACAAAGTTATACCACAATGTGATGAAAGGTATGGGAGCGCATAAAATACGAACAAACAAAAATTATTTTTTATATATTAGAAAAAACATAAATTGATAATATTTTGATAACGGATTAGCTGAAGTGGCAATGGGACGACCATATAGCTCGAAGAACCGACAACCGATGGGGAAGAAAGTTTCTCGAGTGGCAACCTAGTACCGGTAAGCGAAGTGAGGGTGGCCCCCCACTAGATGGAGTGACGAACTGGTACAATCGTCACAAGGAAGTTGACGGATACAGCTGGTTCAGTACCGTGCTTTGTGGAATTCCTTGGGGGAAGCCTATGTTCAGCAGTGGGCTTGTGCAAGGCATCATTACAGATGATGATGATGCATATTTTTATTTACAACTAACCTCATACTAGACCAGGATCTGTGGAAGTAGAATCGAACAGAATTATTTTTATTCCATATACATAATACTTATTGAAAGAATTTTGAAGTTATACTTCTTTTGGGGCGTTTGGCAAAAATTTAGAAAGTGAATTTTTTACGATGCGCGAGCACACCGACAGCTAAAAACGACACCATGAAGTTGTTAGAGTGCGCGCGCACACTGACATCTAAAAGCGACAACTTCGTTGGGTAACTCTCTCTCAAGTATTCGTGGGTTTTTGTTTTGTTACGCTAAAGAAGTATAACTTCCTACGTGCGTACATAAGTACACTACTACGTACTACACACATACATAAATACTACTTGCGTACACACACACACGTTTTTTTTATTTACCATTGGTTAGAAAAATACCTCTGTCCTGGGAAGAATCAGCAAGAAACCCAGCGGGAGTTTTTTGAAACATATTTCACGTTACAATAATTTTGTACAATTTTTAAATGCATTAAAGGGTTATTTTTATTCATGTATACTTTGATATTATAATAACCCTTTTTGTGCAATTTTTCTTTAATAAAACTTTTAAACTTACATTACTTTACATTGCCACATAAATGAATCACTAATTTTGTGGAGTTTAGTAACTGGTCTTACAAGCTTATCTTTGTTCCTAGTATTTAAAGTATCAACATCTTCAGTCTTATCAAAGTTTTTTTTTTTATGCTTTTATGTAAATGCTTCACTTTTTCATATATATATATATATTGCGAGGCCAATATTAATATATTTATTTTTTAACATTTTTCGCTCAGGGACTCTTTAAAATTTGAGTTATAAATCGCCCGTACGGTTATCTTTTGCAAACCAAATATTATATGTCAACGTCAGTAATACTTACAGCTAGCCGCTCATCGGGACAAGAGCCGTGGACACCAGCACACTGACTCTTGGCGTCAAGGTAATAGTCCACTGAGTAGCCCTTGAGAGTCGATTTGTCTACCCAAGCTACGGCTACGTCACCACCCACCATCTCGGAGTGCTCTGGGTTGCCAGAGATACCGAACGACATGTATTCATCGTCCTCTGTAAATAATGCAACAAACGAAATAAAAGTATAAATCTAATAAGTATTTCCATACATATTTTTTCTCATTATTGTAGCAGTATGAATGGGTCGACCGAGGGAGACCAAGGTCGTACAGAAGACTAACTTCAAGCGGCAGTATAGTGTTGCTGTGATTTGTTTTGTGAGTACAGGGAACCGGAGATACTTCTTACTAGTAAACAGGCATTCACGGCAAGTATGTGTGTGTGTGTGTGGGTGTGTGTGCGTGTGTGTGCGTGTGTGTGTGTGTGTGTGTGCTGTATTTCGTATGGTGAGTGTAGGGAACTGGAGACCCCTTTTACTGGAAATGAGGCATGTCATCTCCTCAGGGGTGACAACCCATCTGCATTTTGATTCTTAATCGAGGATAAATGTAGATTTCTATCAGCCATACCATCCACTCACCGTCAGGTGGACTGTGTTCTCGTTTGTCACCCATATTCTATTGAAAAAATCCAACTACGAGGAATTCTTTTGGGGACGATGATGTGCCAATATGCTGTAGGTATGGTGGCGTCATAAGAGAATCCATTACCTCGACTACTACAAGACTATGGGATACGTTAGAAAGATCTTAAAGCTTCCTATGGATGACAGTACAGCTATCTTCCATCCATGCATCCATAACAGCCCACAACTGACCACTGATGAACATGGGCCTTCCCCATAGATTGCATCATAGTGGTTTTGTCATAATTGCAACGTTTGGCAGGAGGGTAGGCAATCGCAGTATTTTCATAATTTTGACAAGAAGATTTATAATTTTGAGTTGTTACCAGGAAATGCCGCTGACCATCTCCTGGTTTGTTTCCCTCTGTCGCCTGTAACGACTGTGGTGATCGGAGGTTTTTAATTTTTCTGAGCGGAGGTCGGTGCGCACGCTTTGGGAAGATATTTCACGCGCACATCCTGGCAGGGTCGCCATGTGGTAATCGGACCAATAGATACGACTCTCTTGTTACAATTTGTTACAATTGTCTTGTTACAATATATCTTTAACACTGCGACTTAACGTAAGTCTACATAAATTAATTACACTACTGGTTCCATGAAGACACATACGGGTACCACTACATGACACTCACAAGATAAAATGGGGTCGCGGATATTCTTACACCGCCACTACACGGTACAGCTATCTTGACTATAAAATCTAAAGCACTAAACAAATTACTCATAAGACAAACACTCCACAATCTCTACATCTGTGCTGTTCATAAAAAGCCGTGGGGTCTTTACCCCTGAGAAGACTTACGGGCAAAGAGGCTAGCCTCGAAGCTCGACACTTGCGGGTGGGCCGTATAACCCCTGCAGATGACGCCCTGACTGATGGCCATAAAATATCCAGACCATCGTCGGGGAGCAAAGAGAAAGTTGTCTATGAACCTGTCAAACGTGATGATGAAGGGAAACCCTCCATACCACGGAAGTGGGCCAGGGTGACAAACGAGCAAATAGTCCACCAGATAGTACGTGGTTACTGTGGCCCATATATATCTACTGTCGTCACGCCTAAGAACTAAGATGGATTGCCTCGTTTCTAGTGAAAATGGTCTCCGATTCTCTACACTTACCATACAAAATACAGCAGCATGAAGCTATTTTACACTGGTATTCTGTGAGAACGGGTTCATTCCCCGGTCGAGCCGACCCATTCGTGCTACAACTATAATGTAGCTGCAACATGGATCTACAACGTAAACTTACGAAAAATGTAAATGTCTACACTCGCCTGCGCCTGTTACACACATACAAAAATATTACGTACCGAGTTTGGCCACCAGCTGTAACACGATGCTATCTCCGGCCACAGCCCAACGTACTTCAAAAGCCAGCTCGTCGTGCAGCACTTCGCAATTTAGTTTTGACTGTAACAACAAGTATATTGAAATTTTATATTTTGGATTTTTAATGTTCATATTTGACTAAGTCAAATTAAGAAGAAAGAAAACAAAGAAAGAATTATATTCAAAATTAGCAACCTGCCCCTACTTCACCTGGGACCCATAATATAATCAAAGACTATTTAATTAGTTTTTCTGATCAGCTTAAATCCCACCTGGCAGTACTCTCTATCTGTTTGTAAAGTTTCATCACAATCGATCAAGCCATTCCGAAGATTATGTCGTACAGACAGACAGACAGACAGACGGACATACAGACAGGCAAAAGGGCATGAAAATAATCCCCTAGCTCAATATAAAGCAGTTATTAGAATATCATAGTCAGATAAATCATTTTTATATACATATACATTCTATAAATTGGTCTTTTAAAAGCACTTTTTTTAAAGGCAAGAAGGCTACGCCATCCCTTTAACAAATCCCTATTTTGGGAGACCTTCTGTAAAGCGGTAGTCAACTTCAAAATAGATTTTATTATTTTTATTATAATGTCCTATTTTCTACTAGCATAAATTAGAAAACATCCAAGAAAGCTCATTATAACAACACATTCTTATATTTTAAGTAATTATCATACTTTCTTCATAGTAAGATTTGTAAATAGTTAAACATATATTCAAAAATATTCAAAAATGAACTGCCAGTTTATAAAGCCTATATTTTTACAATCAAAACTTCAATGAATTAGACCGTTATACCTTTATAATTCATATGTTCCAATTTCGTTCTCTATATTCTTCATCATCATCATCATCATCTGCTTGCAACAATCTACTTTTGCGTCTCTCCCACTACAATGGGCAGGTTTTTACCCGTAACAAGGTGTTTTTAATAGAATATAGATTTTCCGCAATTGAATTCCTAAGCAAACGGATTTACAACAACTGCAGTACCAGATATCACTCACGTCGTATTCTACGTCTACCTAGATAGATAAACAGCTATAAATGAGGGTTAATTTTCTTACGCTCAACAGAGGTCGCTGGTTGTTACTAAGGTGAACTTATTTGTTCCGCAAATGGTAGCACAAACCGAAAAAACGAAAACTTGCTAAAATATATATATGGATATAATGATAATTGATTATCTTAAATGTAAATTACGGAGACCACATTAATGGAGGCAAAGCCGGGGTGGCTCGCTAGTGTTTAATATATGCAAACTGTGATGGATAAAGGCATATCCTACATTGTGAGAGGCCCATGTCTACGCAGCCACAAAGAACGGTCCTTTATTTAAAAAAACATCCATAATCAATAATATAAGATTAGAAGAAGAAGTTAACATCTTGAGGAAGGAAAATACTTAACCCTCTTTTTTGATGATCCGTAATCAGATAAAAAGTAGCCTATAAGTTCCCCCTGGTCCCTAATTATCTAAACACAAAATTTCATGGAAATCTGTTCAGTAGTTTTTGCGTGAAACGGTAATACATAGACAGACAGGCAGACAAAAATTCTAAAAACCACTAATTTGGCCTCAGTGCCCTTTATTTAGTCCCCTGGAATTGTTTTTCCAGAAAATATTATAATTACAGACACGACTTTTCTACATATTTATTATATGTATAGATTATGATATAATATTACACATATAAAATAGATTCAATTCGGCTGGGCTGCGTTCAGGAGATTACGACACATGCCATGTATAGGTTTAACAGTGGTAGAGCCACGTGGCGGTTTTTGCTGTCGCACAGATCGGCCGGCTCGAACCGGGATGGTACCACGACCTCACAGAATACCAGCGTGAAGTAGAGGTTTACCTTTGCGTTTCGCTTGGTGAGTGCAGGTGGCTGGAGGCCCTTTTTACTGGAAATGAGGCATTCCATCTTAGCCCTCACGGGTGACAACGCATCTGCATTTTGATTTGTAATAGAGGATAGATGTAGATGTCTATGGGCCGCAGCAATCACTTACCATCAGGTGGATTGTGTGCTCGTTTGTCACCCTTATCCTATAAAAAAAAATAGGTACTTCAAAACTTGAAAACAAAATTATACCACCACTGCATGTTACCAGTGATGACATATGGATCTGAGACGTGGTCCTTCACTGCTGGCCGTATAAGGAATTTCTAGAAAGGGCTATAGAAAGGACTATACTCGAGGTTTCTCGAAACTTAGAATTTAGGATTTTCACAGTACAGTAGTAAGCTGAAGTGGCAATAGACCAGCCATATAGCTCAATGAACCAAAAACCGATGGGGAAGAATGGTACTCGAATGCAAACCTCGTACAGGTAAGCGAAGTGTATGGCGGGCTCCCACTAGATGGAATGACGACCAGGTAAGATATGCAGGACGTTGATGGATGCAGGTGGCGCAGGTCCGTGCTTTATGTTATTCTTTGGGGGAGGCCTATGTTCAGCAGTAGACTTGTAAAGGACTGTAATGATAATGATGATGGTGATTCTTTTGATATATGTGTGTATATTTACTTTTCATAGTATTTTTTAATCGCTGCTAAGGTTGACTGACAGAGAATGACAAAAGACGGACTTCGTTTGATGCTTTTAGTATTAAGTCCATCTTTTGTCATGTCTTTTGATCCAAAACTGTTTTCTGCAGACTTCTAAAAAGAAGACGGTACTCAACTCAACTGTATGTGTTTTTTTATGTGTGTTACCTCATAACTTTTTACTGGGTAAACAGATTTCGATGATTCTTTTTCTGTTTGAAAGCTGGTACTTCTCGTGTGGTTTCATATGAATTTGATCAAAGTCAGACCAATGGTTTTTGAGTTAATCTTAATAACTTATATTGAAGTTGGCTGTACAAAATTTTTTATTTTAAATTACGTAGGGTTCAATTAAGATTGAATATATACTCGTATACAAATTAGAACCATGCAGCAGCTATAATATGGTTGAAGCTCGAATGGTTCGACTCGACCGGGGTAGGACCACGCTCTCACAGAATATAAGCTAATATAGCAGCTTAATGTTGCTGTGTTTCGTATGTTGAGTCTAGAGAACTGGAGACCCTTTTCTCTTGAAACGAAAATTTGATACTTAATCGAGGATAAACTTAGATGTCTATGAACCACAGCGTTCAATTACCATCAGGTGGACTGTGTTCTCGTTAGTCACCCTTATTCAATATAAAATCATAATATCATGATTAATTTTAACTGTCAAAAAGTGGGTCATGTTAATACTAAATACCCTAAGTAATTAGCTATATTAAAACTTCTTAGATGTCGCTTAGTCACGTATAAAGGCGAGAGTGAGCCGGGCCATCAATAACACCTAATCGAACTAATCTATCATTTACGCGTCTTAACTTCAACATTAATTAGCAGTGATCGAATACGTATATGTAATTAGAAACCTTAGTTTAGAAAATCGTGTCATTATAATATAAGTATAATTACACGACTTGGAATAGAATATAATTACTTTTATTAAATATTGATTAGATGTAATTCTTATTAAAAGTGATTTTTAACTTTTACCACTGATTTGAAAAAATCTCTGTTCTGGGAAGAACCAGTAGGAAACCCAACGGGACTTTTTTTAAAGTATAATTTACTATATAATATTTATACAATTGTTATGAAAATATTTAGAAACAGCATGGTAGCTATCACCTCATCGATCAGCGATCACCTTAGTAGTTATTCGTAGAATAATACTCTGACACTAATTACAAACAAGCAAGATTTAGAGGTATTTAGAGGTAGGTAGATTCCAACCGCTGTACATAATAAATGGCACGTATTGCATGTGTGTTTAGGTACTTAAATACTTCTCTCTGTTTGTTATTCTTCTGTGTGCGTATATTTATATATAATTAGGATATTTATTTTGAGGAAATTATTCCTAATTTATTCTTAATTTTACATCCTATGTAGTGTAGGTACTATGACGAAGCAATGTAACTGGCATATTAAATGATATCCTCGATATATGGAGTCCACGTGTATTCATGAAATGTAGAAATAATATCTAATTAGCTCAGTAATATCATATAACGAGTACATTTATAGAAGAAGACACCATTGACTTATCTCTACCTGGAACCACGTAACACGAACCCTACCTATGTACCTACGTCATAATTCCTATAAGTCTCCTTCGATTCAATAAAGAGAGAGAGAGTTGTTTAACTGCATCAGTGAGTTTAATTTCTTGCCTTGCTCCCCACATGGTACCTACAGTGTTTTTATTATTAATTACTATTTTGTGAATTTTGAATTTTTTACAGATTTTTAGTTACGTTATTGAAAAGTTAAGGAAATGTATAAGTAACACATATTGAAGCTGTAACTTGAATGGGTCGGCTCGACCGGTACTCATACAGAACACTAGCGTAAAGTAGCTGTGTGTCTTCCATATGGTACTGACTATACGGTCAACACCTGAACAAGACCTGGAGACTCTTTATACGGGTATTAGAGAATTCTGTCTTAGTCCGCAGATCTATGGGACATAGCAGTTACTTATCTTCAGGTAGGCTATATGTTCGTTTATCACCTTCACTTAAGTACGAGAACTCAGTAATAGTAGTAAGAGAGTTTAGTGGTGGCGGCTTAAGAATATACATGATGCCATAAGAGGCGACAAAAGAGAAGACAGGAGATGGGCAGCGGTGTATTCCTGTTCAAAATAATTTAAAAAAAAAACTGTAATTGCCATCCTACTATGAGGTAATTCATGGGGTGGGCCTATATTTAGTTGTAGATTTTTATTTTTATTTATTTTTAAGTGGCAATATAAGTAGCGGCACGAAAGTCTAGCGGTGACCGTTATTACGCATAAGTCGCGCTCATTGGCTCGTGCCTATCGTTCGCACGCGCTGATTAGCTCTCCAGTTGCATTCGTGCAATTCAATTCATACGCGTCCCTCCACATTTCGTTCAGCGCTAGACTTACGTGCCGCGACTTGTAATGAATGAATTAAAACTTCTGTTTACATTCCAATGCGATCAGCCGTCTAAATCACAACACATTACTAATCTTATA